GTTGTGCTTGTACTATTTTGGACACACTGTACTCAGGCTCCAGCTTTATGTTGTATGTTGATCGTATTAAAACAAAGAAAACAATCTGAAGTTGTTGTTTTTAAGTTATATATACCATGATTTTTCCGGTCCGGCCCACTTGGGAATAGATTTTCCTCCATGTGGCCCCTGAGCTAAAATGAGTTTGACACCCCTGGTTTAAAGTCACTTTAATAATGTTTACATATCTTGCACGACTCATCTCATATGTATTTACTGCATTCTATTCTATAATATTCTACTGTATCTTAGTCCATGCCGCTGTATCATTGCTTGTGCTTCTAGCTCCGACAGTGCAGTAATATCTAACAAGTAATATCTAACAATTTCACAACATATACCTAATACACACAAAACTAGTAAGGAATGGAATTTAAGAAAATATACATTGAGGGAAAAAAGTATTTAATCCCCTGCTGATTTTGTAAATTTGCCCACTGACAAAGAAATGATCAGTCTATAATTTTAATGGTAGGTTTATTTGAACGGTGAAAGTTAGAATAACAACAACAAAATCCAGAAAAACGCATGTAAAATTTTTTATAAATTGATTTGCATTTTAATGAGGGAAATACGTTTTTGACCCCTCTGCAAAACATGACTTAGTACTTGGTGGCAAAACCCTTGTTGGCATTCACAGAGGTCAGACGTTTCTTGTAGTTGGCCACCAGGTTTGCACACATCTCAGGAGGGATTTTGTCCCACTCCTCTTTGCAGATCTTCTCCAAGTCATTAAGGTTTCGAGGCTGATGTTTGGCAACTCGAACCTTCAGCTCCCTCCACAGATTTTCTATGGGATTAGGCCTGTTCGTTCAGCACTTTCAAAATGGACACCGACAGAAATTCAGATGTTAGTTCAGATAAATTCAGCAAGATGTTGAGGCCTTAACTTTACTCTTCTTTGTCACCACAGAGAGAGAGAGAGAGAGAGAGAGAGCGAGAGAGAGAGACGCGGTTAGCCTACCATTTGAAGTATTTTATTAGGCCTATGTGGTCTAAAAGGGAAGGAAAATACAATCATGAGGATCCACTTTTATAGACAATATACCGACGCACAGACAGCGCATTGCGCAAACAAAACAACCCTCACAATATCAACTGGAATTACATGGGTCCATTACTGAACTTTTTGTTGAAAACAAATATTTGAATGGGAAGAGACTGTCACTGGCAAACATGGTTACAGACCCAACAACATTAAATAGTATACCCTCTGAAGAAAAGCACATGAGCAAATTTTTGCAACAGCATACAAGACATTTTTGGACTCACCTTTGTTGTGCTGTGCTCACTTGAACAGGAAGGTGGCGCAGCGGTCCTTCTTGTGGGCAAATTTTGTCATCAAATGTGCTTTCAAGACAGCTGGGAACTCTGAAAAAACAAGTTTGAATCATGACGTCAGTGATCTTCAGGTCAGAGCTCTAGAAAGAGGCCCGAGTTCCCGGCTTGGAATTCTGAGTTGGATGACTGTTCAAAACGTATTTTCCCAGTCTGAGCTCGTTCTTTTCCGAGTTCCCAGTTGTCTTGAACTCCCAGTTCTGAGTTTCCAGTTATTTTGAACCCGGCAGAAGTCATGCTGGATTGACAACCTTTTCTGGCCCATGGTGTTGCGAGGGAATGTTTACCCTTTTAAGCTTGGAAAATAGACCATTTCAGACAGATGTTTTAATTTCTTAAACCCAGACTTGGACCACACACCCTCTCCACTGAATAGCAGGCAGGGGAATCAAAATAGTGATTGCTTTGCAACGCTTGCAGTTAGCCACTGATTCATTCCAAACCACTCATTGTTGAATTTACGATTTACGACCTGTTGTGTAATGTTTATGTGCAATGGCCGATGAGCACCGATGCCTTTTATCTATAATTTATCTTCATATGACCAGGATTGAAAAGGATTTCCCAGTAGATTGTGATTCATGATGATGACTGCTTGTCTAGCTTGCTAGCTAAGATGTTGAAAGTAACATGATCAGTCCAATTAAAGCTACGGTAGATGATATAACGTGATTTGACGTCATTTTATCTGTGGCCAATGACCTTGAGTCTTCTTGGATGGGCACTTCTAATGTACAGTGCATTCGGAAAGTATTCAGACCCCTTGACTTTTTCCACATTTTGTTACGTTACAGCCTAAAATTGATTAAATATTTTTTTTCTTTCATCAATCTACACACAATACCCCATAATGACAAAGCAAAAACAGGTTTCTATAAATTTTTGTTATTGGGAATGACGCTACAAGCTTGGCACACCTGTATTTGGGGAGTTTCTCCAATTCTTCTCTGCAGATCCTCTCAAGCTCTGTCAGGTTGGATGGAGACCGTCGCTGCACAGCTATTTTCAGGTCTCTCTAGAGATGTTTGATCGGGTTCAAGTCCGGGCTCTGGCTGGGCCACTCAAGGACATTCAGATACTTGTCCCGAAGCCACTCCTGCATTGTCTTGGCTGTGTGCTTAGGGTTGTTGTCCTGTTGGAAGGCGAACCTTCGCCCCAGTCTGAGGACCTGAGTGCTCTGGAGCAGGTTTTCATCTAGGATCTCTCTGTACTTTGCTCCATTCATCTTTCCCTCGATCCTGACTAGTCTCCCAGTCCCTGCCACTGAAAAACATCCCCACAGCATGATGCTGCCACCACCATGCTTCACCGTAGGGATGGTGCAAGGTTTCCTCCAGATGTGACGCTTGGCATTCAGGCCAAAGAGTTCGATCTTGGTTTCATCAGACCAGAGAATCTTGTTTCTCATGGTCTGAGAGTCCTTTAGGTGCCTTTTGGCAAACTTCAAGCTGGCTGTCATGTGCCTTTTACTGAGGAGTGGCTTCCGTCTGGCCACTCTACCATAAAGGCCTGATTGGTGGAGTGCTGCAGTGATGGTTGTCCTTCTGGAAGGTTCTCCTATCTCCACAGAGGAACTCTGGAGCTCTGTCAGAGTGACCATCGGGATCTTGGTCACCTCCCTGACCAAGGCCCTTCTCCCCCGATTGCTCAGTCTTGGTGGTTCCAAACTTCTTCCATTTAAATAAGATGGAGGCCACTGTGTTCTTAGGGACCTTCAATGCAGCAGAAATGTTTTGGTACCCTTCCCCAGATCTGTGCCTCGACACAATCCTGTCTCAGAGCTCTACGGACAATTCCTTCGACCTCATGGCTTAGTTTTTGCTCTGACATGCACTGTCAACTGTGGGACCTTATATAGATAGGTGTGTGCCTTACCAAATCATGTCCAATCAATTGAATTCACCACAAGAATTCAATCAAGTTGTGAAAACATCTCAAGGATGATCAATGGAAACAGGATGCACCTGAGCTCAATTTCGAGTCTCATAGCAAAGGGTCTGAATACTTATGGAAATAAGGTATTTCCGTTTCTTTTAAATAAAAATTTGCAAGCATTTCTAAAAACCTTTTTTCGCTTTGTCATTATGGGGTATTGTGTGTAGATTGATGAGGATTTTTATTTATTTAATACATTTTAAAATAAGGCTGTAACGTAACAAAATGTGGAAAAAGGGAAGGGGTCTGAATACTTTCCCAATGCACTGTAAATCTATGGCAGCACCCAAGGGGGCTTGAACTGCTTAGCTCTCCCTGTAAATTCTGCAGTGATATAGTGTCCCCATGAGTGACAGAACACTGAGCCAATCACGGCACAACTAGAGAAGATTAACAATGCCTACGCTCTGTATATTCCGCTGGCTGCCCCTCCACCACAGAAAGCACTGAGCTAGGCTGAAACACCTGCATTTTGGAGCTGCCTTACTCAAGAAAGAGACCATGTTCGTGTGCGGCTTTATTAACTCCATTTTTGGGGGGGGGGGAAACAGGTGGGGCTCAAAACAGGCTCTGCCCTGAATGACGGGTCGCCATTGGTTCTGTGAGAGATACAGGCACGCTTCTCTCTCTCACCACAGCTATGACCTATAGGCTACGATGTTGCGCAAACCATAAACCCCGGCTGGCCCAACATTTAATACATTCGTAGAATATCAGGAACGTTTTCACATTACGTTTTTTAGGGGGCAGCCAGGATGATTACAGAGTCAACTTGAATTAACTTGGATTGCTTTTATTAGAATTGTTACATTGCAAACAGTGACAATTATTGTTCATGTCACGAGAGGTACCAGGTATCGGATACTGGCAAATGTGTTCTGGAACGAAACAGTCCAAAACTGAGAGGTGCCGGATTCTGTTCCGGCAGGATCCAACTCAAATTAAGCACTGTGTAGGTGCACGGCGCACCGGTTTGTATCAAGAACTGCAACACTGCTGGGTTTTTCATGCTCAACAGTTTCCCGTGTATATCAAGAATGGTCCATCACCCAAAGGACATTCAGACAACTTGACACAAGGAAGTATTGGAGTCAACATGGGCCAGCATCCCTGTGGAACACTTTCGACACCTTGTAGAGTTCATGCCCCGATGAATTGAGGCTGTTCGGGTTAGATGCAATAGCACAGTTGTATTGCGCTTAGTTGAGGCTTTTGTATGTTGTTCAAGAATCGTTTAAGGCAGGGTTTCCTTTTCTTGTTTTATGCCCTAGCACTACACAGCTGATTCAAATAACCAACTCATCATCAAGCTTTGATTATTATAATGATCGTTTTGCCGGAACTCTCAATTTCTAACATGTAATCACGAAGCTGATTATGTGAGGTTTTACTTCTAGGTTAACAGAGATTAATAAACGCCCAATGATCTTAGTTCAACTGTCATACATCATTGGTCTTACCCAATCAGAACCCCAAATATAAGCTTGTTTTACCCCATTGTCATAGATAAATTGACATTCAGTTGGTGTATGTTTTTTCAAAATAGAATTCAAAAAAATCTATTGAATAAGTAAACCTACTCATTATTGGACTGTTCTACTATTGACTGACTATATGCTATCTTCTTCCAGATATCCTTCATGTTGGGACATACCAGTCAGTGATGGGGCAGAAACATACCCTGTGACATGGCTTGTACAAGACAATCTGCTTTAGAGTACATTCAAAATGGAAGGAGACTTCTCATTGAAAGGCTCCAGAATCTGTCCCTGATTGTGGAAAACCTGTTCCAGCGCAAAGTTCTTCACGAGGAGGAAGTCAGTAAAATTCAGGCAGAAGTTGACCGTTTTGACCAAACCAGAAAAATACTGGACTCGGTCACAGCCAAAGGAGAAGCTGCATGCTACGAGTTACTGATGATTCTAGACATCACAAGGAAGAGGACCTTAGACAACGCTGACTTACAGCAATGGATAAGCTGCTTCCCCTTCAAGGAAGACCCAGAGATGACAGATTACCTTGTTGGCAAGTGATATATTATATTATACAATTAGTATACAGTATATAGTATACAATTGGCTGGGCAGAAAATAGCAGACATGAGTTGAAATTAGTTTTCTTTCAATCTTTAACTTTTTTGGTGTTTTATTTAGCTTACTGTGTGCATCGGGTGGACAGGGTTTCTGTTGGCACAGTGCATTTACTCTCTTTTCTCTTTTATACCCTTATTTCAGGTTCAAAACCCTGTCACAGATATCAGACACAGCTGAAATGTAAAGCTCGAAAGATCACAGAGGGTACATGGAAACAAAGCCGTAGTCTCCTACCAGAGAGATGTAGAAATGAGGTGACTTTCTCTTACACTCCTCTTGTGTTAGATACAGACGTGCATTCATCTCTCTCTAAAATCAAAATGAAGAACAAAAGATGCAAGAAAGCTCGCCTTAAAAAGCTAAAGAGCTTCATCCCCATGGCCAAACAGGAAACATCCCTGGCTGACCTGCTTAAAACACCAGAGAGAAGGATCCTCTTAGTTGGAAAACCTGGAATTGGAAAGACAACAGTCGCCCATCAAATGTTGAACCTCTGGGCAGAGAAAGATCACACTGAACTAGATTACATGTTTTATTTTGATGTGAGAGACATTTCACCCAGCACAAATCCCATGAGACTGGAGGACCTTCTCTTTGACATGTACAGTGAGCCAGAAGAAAGTAGAGAAGACGTGTTACAGGATATTAAGAAGAACTCTGAAAACGTTGTCATCATTTTTGATGGAATCACAGACCTCTCCTCTCATTCAGTAATAAAGAAACTTGTGGACAAGGACCTCCTCCCTGATGCGAAGATTGTGATCACATGCAGACCAGAGGTTCCATCAGAAGACTTCCTGACAGACTGGCCCTCGTTCAGAGCCGAGGTGAAAGGGTTCAGTGATGAGTCCATCCAGGCTTTCTTAAAGAAGATGCTGAGTGCTGAGCCTAACCCTAACCCAAACCATGACTCCTTGAGCAGTGTGTTAAACAACCTAGAGTTGTTCAGTCTGTGCCATGTCCCGATGTATGCATTGATGGTGGTTGCCTGCATTCATTATTATACCCCAGATGCTTCTAAGCAGCCATGGCCTACAACTAAGATGTACATCAACATCCTCCGTTACTGCATCCTAAAACACAGTGGCAAACAACTGAAGGATCTCGACAAGTGTCTCGTAGAAAACAGAGAAAAAATATTGTCTTTAGCAGAAATTGCTTTCGATGCAACACAGCAAAAAACGATGAACTTGACAGCACTGAGCTGCGAAGTAAGCAGTGTCCAGTTTGCTTTCTTGGGTGCGCTTATGATTATGGTCGAGCCCACAGCATCAGACACTTACTCTGCATTTCTCCATTACACAATGCAGGAGTTCTTTGGTGCCATTTGGCTCTTACAGAATCCAGGCAAAATCAGAGAGGTTCTACAGAAGTGCCAGACTGAAGAATGGAAACACACAAAACACGTGGTTCCTTTCTTGTGTGGGCTTCTGAATGAGAGGAATATTCGATTGGTAAATGGTCTAGTTCCAGCTCAACAGATCAAGAAGACGTCAGATTGGTTCTTCAAGGAAGTGGTGAACACATTTCTTCCACTTCAAACAAACCACGATCATGCAGAAGGTGGTGCTCCTGAGTTTGAGATAGATCTTCTGTTTTTATGTCAGTGCTTATATGAATCTCAGTCCACTGAGGCCTGTCTGCTTCTTCTGGACAAACTGGACTACAATCTACACCTGGATGAAGAACATCTTGATCCTCACCAGTGCTGTGCAGTCTCCTATGTGATCAGTCAGTCTGCAGAGAGAAAGGTTGGCTTGGACCTGAACAGCTGTACTGTGTCAGACCAAGGACTAAGGCTGATACTGGGCTCTCTGAAGAATGTCCGATATCTTGGGTAATATTTGTGTTATATATTTGTGTAATTTCGTTTTCTAATGCACCAATTTATTTCCAATTAACTAGTCAAATAAATAACATTGGGATAAGGCAAACCTTATCCAAAACGTTCTACATTTTTCTATTGTATTCTCCTTCATTCAGATACTGAGTTATAAGCACTTCTGTTTCATGCTACTTTGAAACTTGACGAATTTAATTATAATATACAGTGAGGGAAAAAAGTATTTGATCCCCTGGTGATTTTGTACGTTTGCCCACTGACAAAGAAATGATCAGTCTATAATTTTAATGGTAGGTTTATTTGAACAGTGAGAGACAGAATAACAACCAAAAAATCCAGAAAAACGCATGTCAAAAATGTTATAAATTGATTTGCATTTTAATGAGGGAAATAAGTATTTGACCCCCTCTCAATCAGAAAGATTTCTGGCTCCCAGGTGTCTTTTATACAGGTAACGAGCTGAGATCAGGAGCACACTCTTAAAGGGAGTGCTCCTAATCTCAGTTTGTTACCTGTATAAAAGACACCTGTCCACAGAAGCAATCAATCAATCAGATTCCAAACTCTCCACCATGGCCAAGACCAAATAGCTCTCCAAGGATGTCAGGGACAAGATTGTAGACCTACACAATGCTGGAATGGGCTACAAGACCATCGGCAAGCAGCTTGGTGAGAAGGTGACAGTTGGTGCGATTATTCGCAAATGGTAGAAACACAAAAGCACTGTCCATCTCCCTCGGCCTGGGGCTCCATGCAAAATCTCACCTCGTGGAGTTGCAATGATCATGAGAACGGTGAGGAATCAGCCCAGAACTACACGGGAGGAACTTGTGAATGATCTCAAGGCAGCTGGGACCATAGTCACCAAGAAAACAATTGGTAACACACTACGCCGTGAAGGACTGAAATCCTGCAGCGCCCGCAAGGTCCCCTACTCAAGAAAGCACATATACATGCCCGTCTGAAGTTTGCCAATGAACATCTGAATGATTCCGAGGACAACTGGGTGAAAGTGTTGTGGTCAGATGAGACCAAAATTGAGCTCTTTGGCATTAACTCAACTCGCCGTGTTTGGACGAGGAGGAATGCTGCCTATGACCCCAAGAACACCATCCCCACCGTCAAACATGGAGGTGGAAACATTATCCTTTGGGGGTGTTTTTCTGCTAAGGAGACAGGACAACTTCACAGCATCAAAGGGTCGATGGACGGGGCCATGTACCGTCAAATCTTGGGTGAGAACCTCCTTCCCTCAGCCAGGGCATTGAAAATGGGTCGTGGATGGGTATTCCAGCATGACAATGACCAAAATCACACGGCCAAGGCAACAAAGGAGTGCCTCAAGGAGAAGCACATTAAGGTCCTGGAGTGGCCTAGCCAGTCTCCAGACCTTAATCCCATAGAAAATATGTGGAGGGAGCTGAAGTTTCGAGTTGCCAAACGTCAGCCTCGAAACCTTAATGACTTGGAGAAGATTTGCAAAGAGGAGTGGGACAAAATCCCTCCTGAGATGTGTGCAAACCTGGTGGCCAACTACAAGAAACATCTGACCTCTGTGATTGCCAACAAGGGTTTTGCCACCAAGTACTAAGTCATGTTTTGCAGAGGGGTCAAATACTTATTTCCCTCATTAAAATGCAAATCAATTCATAACATTTTTGACATGCGTTTTTCTGGATAATTTTTTTGTTATTCTGTCTCTCACTGTTCAAATAAACCTACCATTAAAATTATAGACTGATCATTTCTTTGTCAGTGGGCAAACGTACAAAATCAGCAGGGGATCAAATACTTTTTTCCCTCACTGTACTATTTCAAAACCCTTTTCTGATCATAGATCTGACCCCTCAATGCTGTGTCAACTCTGGACAACTTTGCTGCGCAGTGAGGCAGACATTGACTTCACCAGCTTACTTGGTCTTTGTGGAAATGAGTTGCACCTTCCAGTCCTCGGTGAAATACGAATGTTTGAGAGAGCAGAAAAAGTGATGAAGCAGAGCCTAGAGAGGGTTAACCTCTGTCTACACTGGGATCGGAGAACTCTTCTCAGTGAAGATCTCAGCAAGACCATTTTAAAGTGTTTAACACATATCAACAAACTCAGGTCAGTGTTTCCACAGCCAGGTGGTACCCAGGCAGTGCCACAGCCATGCACAGTGTGCCAGGTCTTCTTCTTAATCAACTCTGTTGTGATGCCTTGGAACATCACAACATTCCTGATCTTCAGGAAGTGTGTTGCTGTCTAGATAGTTGATGTAGTATGGGGAGTTAGCCATAAGCTAGTGACCAACTGCAGCTGAATACACCTCTGCTGAGATGAGCTGTAATATAAGTCAATACAATGCACAATTACACTTTGTAATAGCAGGCCATAATTAAATAGTCCTTTAACTGAAACTGTTACACAAAATAGTGATATGTATACAATAACAATATGCTGAATCACTATTGTTACAGTAATATTACAATAATGTTGTAACATTATTATGAATAACATTTTATACTTTATAAAGAGGGATTGTTTGATATATATCAGTGAAGTGGTCAATAGCAAAACTGTTAACTTGTCTAGAATTACAGAAGATTGTTCTTACCTGCTATTGCTAGACAAATGCAGGATTATTAAACAGTATTCTTAGGAAACCTACAGTAGTGCTTCTTACAGAGTGCTTTAGTGCTTTAATTTCCTGGTTTAAACTCGTCTCTACACAAAGATTGATAAGGCACATAGAGTAGGGTTCTCCAACTGATGGGCCAGTTAAATTGTTGGAGATAAAAGTCTCCCGAGTGGCGCAGTGGTCTAAGGCCACTAGAGATCCTGGTTCGAATCCAGGCTCTGCTGTAGCCGGCCGCAACCGGGAGACCAATGGGGCGGCGCACAATTGGCCCAGCGTCGTCCAGGGTAGGGGAGGGAATGGCCAGCAGGGAGGTAGCTCAGTTGGTAGAGCATGGCGTTTGCAACGCCAGGGTTGTGGGTTCGATTCCCACGGGGGGTCAGTATGAAAATAAAAAAGAATAATGTATGCACTAACTGTAAGTCGCTCTGGATAAGAGCGTCTGCTAAAAGACTGTGAAAACACCAGCACATCAGCTCCAAGTGATTTTAATTTTGGGAAATCTGTTCCAAAGTATTCCCACACATAATAGAGGTTTGAAACTATGTTTTAGTCTAATATTATATTTGTTTGGGCTTCTTGCGATCAATTTGCAGTCTACAAATTATTTGTAATTACAGTGAGGGAAAAAAGTATTTGATCCCCTGCTGATTCTTTACGTTTGGCCACTGACAAAGAAATGATCAGTCTATAACTTTAATGGTAGGTTTATCTGAACAGTGAGAGACAGAATAACAACAAAAAAATCCAGAAAAACGCTTGTCAAAAATGTTATGAATTGATTTGCATTTTAATGAGGGAAATAAGTATTTGACCCCCTCTCAATCAGAAAGATTTCTGGCTCCCAGGTGTCTTTTATACAGGTAACGAGCTGAGATTTGGAGCACACTCTTAAAGGGAGTGCTCCTAATCGCAGCTTGTTACCTGTATAAAAGACACCTGTCCACAGAAGCAATCAATCAATCAGATTCCAAACTCTCCACCATGGCCAAGACCAAAGAGCTCTCCAAGGATGTCAGGGACAAGATTGTAGACCTACACAAGGCTGGAATGGGCTACCAGACCATCGCCAAGCAGCTTGGTGAGAAGGTGACAGTTGGTGCGATTATTCGCAACTGGAAGAAACACAAAAGAACTGTCAATCTCCCTCGGCCTGGGGCTCCATGCAAGATCTCACCTCGTGGAGTTGGAATGATCATGAGAACGGTGAGGAATCAGCTCAGAACTACACGGGAGGATCTTGTCAATGATCTCAAGGCAGCTGGGACCATAGTCACCAAGAAAACAATTGGTAACGCACTACGCCGTGAAGGACTGAAATCCTGCAGCGCCCGCAAGGTCCCCCTGCTCAAGAAAGCACATATACAGGGCCGTCTGAAGTTTGCCAATGAACATCTGAATGATTCAGAGGAGAACTGGGTGAAAGTGTTGTGGTCAGATGAGACCAAAATCGAGCTCTTTGGCATCAACTCAACTCGCCATGTATGGAGGAGGAGGAATGCTGCCTATGACCTCAAGAACACCATCCCCACCGTCAAACATTGAGGTGGAAACATTATGCTTTGGGGGTGTTTTTCTGCCAAGGGGACAGGACAACTTCACCGCATCAAAGGGACGATGGACGGGCCATGTACCGTCAAATCTTGGGTGAGAACCTCTTTCCCTCAGCCAGGGCATTGAAAATGGGTCGTGGATGGGTATTCCAGCATGACAATGACCAAAATCACACGGCCAAGGCAACAAAGGAGTGCCTCAAGGAGAAGCACATTAAGGTCCTGGAGTGGCCTAGCCAGTCTCCAGACCTTAATCCCATAGAAAATATGTGGAGGGAGCTGAAGTTTCGAGTTGCCAAACGTCAGCCTCGAAACCTTAATGACTTGGAGAAGATTTGCAAAGAGGAGTGGGACAAAATCCCTCCTGAGATGTGTGCAAACCTGGTGGCCAACTACAAGAAACATCTGACCTCTGTGATTGCCAACAAGGGTTTTGCCACCAAGTACTAAGTCATGTTTTGCAGAGGGGTCAAATACTTATTTCCCTCATTAAAATGCAAATCAATTCATAACATTTTTGACATGCGTTTTTCTGGATAATTTTTTTGTTATTCTGTCTCTCACTGTTCAAATAAACCTACCATTAAAATTATAGACTGATCATTTCTTTGTCAGTGGGCAAACGTACAAAATCAGCAGGGGATCAAATACTTTTTTCCCTCACTGTACTATTTCAAAACCCTTTTCTGATCATAGATCTGACCCCTCAATGCTGTGTCAACTCTGGACAACTTTGCTGCGCAGTGAGGCAGACATTGACTTCACCAGCTTACTTGGTCTTTGTGGAAATGAGTTGCACCTTCCAGTCCTCGGTGAAATACGAATGTTTGAGAGAGCAGAAAAAGTGATGAAGCAGAGCCTAGAGAGGGTTAACCTCTGTCTACACTGGGATCGGAGAACTCTTCTCAGTGAAGATCTCAGCAAGACCATTTTAAAGTGTTTAACACATATCAACAAACTCAGGTCAGTGTTTCCACAGCCAATATATATTTATTACATGTCTTTGTGACTATTAATTCATTTAAGTCAATTAAGAACATAGGTTGTCAATGTAAACAAGAACAATATCAAGAGGCTAAGGCCTAGACAAAGAAGACACTGCAACAATACAACAAGAGACACATGGCAACAGTATTTAGCCTCCAAAAGAGGCAGTCACTTTCTCCCTGTATTTACAGTATCTAAATGTAGACTTTCTTATGCATTATGGTTCACAGTTTTACCCCACTACAAGATCAGAGAGGATCCCCTGAAAAACTGGAGAAAGAAGAGAAAGCAGTCCTACTAGATTTGTGTCTACAAGCAGCACTATATCACAGAGAAACGTTCAAGGGAGCTGTGAACACACTGCTGTCACTGTTCTCTGTGTATCAAACTGAGAGATATGACATCCTGCTGGATCTGTACTGGCATGTGAAGTACAATAGGAAACAAGCAGGCAGGGGTATCCTTCCATCATTGAGGCCACTTTACCAGCCAGCTCCAGCAGTTTACCATGATCGGAAATGGGATATCCTGCTGGATCTGTACTCGCATGTGAAGGACTATGAGACTCAAACAGGCAGGAGTGTCCTTCCAGCATTACAGACAGTTTACCAGTCAGCTCCAGCAGTCTGGTCCATAGACCTCTCAGAGAGAAAGGCCTCCCTCCTCCTAGAAGTGCTGAAACTCCAACCAGAGAAGAAACCAGTAGAGCTGAAAGGCTGGTCAGACGAAGAGAGTGAAGTGAGGAGTTTCCTTCAGTGTCTGCCCTACATCTCACAGCTGAGGTGAGTTGGATCAAGACAGTTGAAGGATTGTTTGTCCCTGTATTTCCCTTTTTAAAAGGAAGTTTGTTCGTAACAATCTAATATGCTAAACGTACACATTCAATTTTGAAAAGATGCAATCTTACTTTGTGGTCATGATAATAAGGAACGACTGAAGTGGACGATGAGTTTAGAAAGATACTCATGTTATTTTACCCGCCATAATGTGACCATCAGAAATGCATACTGTATCTCACATATTCATCTATTTGTTGTTAAACTTTTCATGCAGTTTTACTTCACCACAGTATCAGAGAAGATCCCCTGAAGAGTGGAGAAAGCGAGAGAAGATATTCCTACTGAATCTGTGTCTTCAAGCAGCCCTCCATGAGAGAGAAACCTTACAAACAACTGTAGAGAAAGTGTTGTCACTGTCTGAAGTATATTACGATCAGAAATGTGATTTTCTGCTGGATCTGTACTTGCATGTGAAGGACTATGAGACTCAAACAGGCAGGAGTGTCTTTCCAGCATTACAGACAGTTTACCAGTCAGCTCCTGCAGTCTGGTCCATAGACCTCTCAGAGAGAAAGGCTTCTCTCCTCCTAGAAGTGCTGAAACTCCAACCAGAGAAGAAACCAGTAGAGCTGAAAGGCTGGTCAGATGAAGAGAGTGAAGTGAGGAGTTTCCTTCAGTGTCTGTCCTACATCTCACGGCTCAGGTGAGTTGGATCAGTACAGTTCAGGGATTGTAGTTGTCTGTCCCTGTATTTCCCTTTAGAGAGGTTTGTTTGTAGCTTTCTGCATTAGCCTAATATGCTAAGTATACACATACTGTTTTGAAAAGATGCAATCTTACTTTGTAGTCTACGGAACAATTGAAGTGGATGATGAGTGTTGAAAGATAGCTGTACTTTATCTACCATAATGTAACCATTAGAAATTCATATCATCCCTCCAACACTTTCTTCATCTCTTTAATGTTAAACTGTTTGTGCAGGTTTGCTCCACAACAGGATCTGATAGGATCCCCTGAAGAGTGGCGAAAGCGAGAGAAGACATTCCTACTGAATCTGTGTCTTCAAGCAGCCCTCCATGAGAGAGAAACCTTACAAACAACTGTAGAGAAAGTGTTGTCACTATCTGACATTTATTGCGAACGGAAATGGGATCTCCTGCTGGATCTGTACTCGTATGTGAAGGACTATGAGACTCAAACAGGCAGGAGTGTCCTTCCAGCATTACAGACAGTTTACCAGTCAGCTCCAGCAGTCTGGTCCATAGACCTCTCAGAGGGAAAGGCCTCCCTCCTCCTAGAAGTGCTGAAACTCCAACAAGTGAAGAAACCAGTAGAGCTGGAAGGCTGGTCAGACAAAGAGAGTGAAGTGAGGAGTTTCCTTCAGTGTCTGCCCTACATCTCACAGCTGAGGTGAGTCTGAACATGTGTGATGGTTAGTGATTATGTGATGCTAGTGATTATTGTATTTTAGAAACCTGGTAAATATAAAAGTTCAAATGTTGGTTACATTTCTACTCAGATTTCCTGAAATAACATGTTGTATTACAAAATGTCACACATAGATAATTTGAATTTCTCTAAGATTATATAATTTTTCATAAAACAAAAGCACATAATGTAAATGTACCTACTTCATATATCTTTTAGCGATGACTGGTTTCATGTGTCCATCCATGTCTGAATCAGCTGTTACTGTCCTTGTTGCAGTTTCTATCCATGGTGGTCTGATAACTCAACGCTGATCAAGTACCTGGTGGGTCTCCTGTCTCAAGCAGCAGAGTGGGAGGAGCAGACAGGAGAGAAGACACTGAAGCTGCTATCATCAGTGTGTACTTACAGCACTTTCCCTCTCTGTGACTGGGTTGATAACGATAAGTGGTTTCAATGTGATATCCTGCTGGATCTGTACTCGTATGTGAAGGACTATGAGACTCAAACAGGCAGGAGTGTCCTTCCAGCATTACAGCCAGTTTACCAGTCAGCTCCTGCAGTCTGGTCCATAAACCTCTCAGAGAGAAAGGCCTCCCTCCTCCTAGAAGTGCTGAAACTCCAACCAGAGAAGAAACCAGTAGAGCTGGAGGGCTGGTCAGACAAAGAGAGTGAAGTGAGGAGTTTCCTTCAGTGTCTGCCCTACATCTCACAGCTGAGGTGAGTCTGAACATGCTGTATGTGGTTAGTGATTATGGGATGCTAATAGTGATTTGTCGTTATGAAATCTTGTAACATGAAACCTCAATGTTTACTCAGAATACCTGATCTATAAAACTCAGATCACTTTATGACATGGCATATTATGGAACTTTCTCTGTAACATCACGTTATTACTTTTCCATATGACAGTTGTATATTCATGCTCTCTAAATGTCGTCTGATTTCATGTGTCCCCTCATGTTTTGCTGTTTCAGCTGTTATTCTGACAGGTTCTTCCAGAGTGTGTGTGAATCCTTCCCTGTGAGGTCCAGAGAGGATGCCCAGCAGTTGGCCTCTCTCCTCCAGGCCTTGGGCTCCACCCTGTCACTGGGAGGAGAGTTACCCAGGAAAACATGCAGGTCTGTGGTGAGAGTCCTAAGCCTCTGTGCCTCCAGAGTGGACCTCACTCTCACCCCCAGCAAGATCTCTCTGAAAGGAGCCTCACTTCTCTTCACACATGTGTCACAGCTACACAAGCTCAGGTATGTTTTGTAAGCTAGATTTACAATTTTTATTTTCTTATTGAGCATTTTATCTGACAAGGTTTCTCTGTTTAAAAGTGACTTGAGTTAGTTTTTTTCATTCCAGGCTGAATGTGGGCATGGCAGTGAAACTGTCCAGACTGGTCAGGAGGACAAGGAGCGGTGCTACTCCACTGACTCTCCCAGAGCTCTCCCTGGTCCTAAAGAGCAGCCAGCCACCAGAGAGAGTGTTATCCAGGGCTCTGAGTGGTGTGGCGTCCCTGCTGAGACTCTGGACGGTGCAGTGTCTGGACCTAACTGACATCTGCATCCAGGGTCACTCTCTGATCACACTGCTGTGTCACAAGGGTCCTCTCTCTCTCAGGTCAGTTTGAAGCTGTTTTTTTGTTTGTTTTTTTTACAAGTAGAAATAAGTAGAACTTATACATGTGTTTTTATTAATATTTGTGTTATTTTCTGACTGCCTTTATGTTCCAACCTCCTAGACTGCACTCAGACACTCTGCAGCAGCTGGCTGTAGTTGTGTATGAAGCTCAGGACAAGGACTTGACTCAGTGGTTCCTGGAGAAGGTTTCTGGAGACCTGACCTCCTGCAGGCTGGACTGGGAAGTGCTTCTCTCTCTGCTGCAGCAGTCAACCCACAACATCACTGTGGACTTCAGGAAGAACAGGCTTCTAGAGAAGAACATCTCAGATCTTCTCCCCTTTCTGGGAAGGGTTATATTCAAGAGGTGAGTGAACTTTATTTAATATTGACTTTAATTATTAATGTTCTACCCAGCCAGTTGTTGCTATGTGAGTTCTCCTTGATAAAACCTTAACATAACCATGTTACTGGGCCTTTCTGCAGGCCCAGTTCCAGCTTTGTAAAGTCCACCATCAGACAGATCTATGACAGTAGAGCCAGTGACTGTGTGTCCAGTTTGTTGAGGTCTTCAGACCATTGGATCAACCTGAACAGCAGAGAGCTGGACAGAGTGGACTGTACTGCTCTGTGTTTTACCCTGCAGCACTGCCACCAAGTCAAAGTCAACCTGCTGTGGACCTCCATACCATCGGGGGAGATAGAGAGCATCCTGCCTCTTTTGGACAGAGTCGCCCAACTCAGGTTTAGTTGGCACTCTTTGACCATTCTAGAATGGATAGAACTATGACGCTTTACACTATATGACTGATTTTAACCACTAACCCTAACCTTAGTGTAATACACAATGGGGCAACCCATGGTAGTTGACGTGATACAGAGTTGTAGTGTGTTTATCAGTGTTTTATTATGTGCTGGTGGGTAAATAAGCCTCTCTCGCTGTCTCTCTCTCTCTCTCTCTCGCTGTCTCTCTCTCTCTCGCTGTCTCTCTCTCTCTCGCTGTCTCTCTCTCTCTCTCTCTCTCTCTCTCTCTCTCTCTCTCTCTCTCTCTCTCTCTCTCTCTCTCTCTCTCTCTCTCTCTCTCTCTCTCTCTCTCTCTCTCTCCTGCTGTAGTGTTGACAGGATGCTGCTGCTGAGTTTTCTCCACTGCTGCGCTGCCTCTCAGATCCTGCAGGGGGCAACACCAACAACAGCAGCAGCAGGGCTGCTCAGGGCTCTGCAGCACAGGCTCGACTTCTCCTGCTCCTCCTCTGTGGACCTGTCAGCTCATGACCAGGGGGAGGCGCTGTGTCTGACCACTGACCACTGTAGGGCCATAAACTCTGTTCTGAAACAGAGCCAACACAGCACACAGCTGGTTCAGAACCAGACCCGGAACCAGTCCCAAAACCAGCCCCAGCCCAGACCCCAGGTGCAGCTCATCCTGAAAGACTGTGAGGTGGAGCACGGAGCACTGAGAGAGCTGCTTCCCATCCTGCATGTTGTCAAGCTGAGGTTAGACACACAAGGACAAAGAGTTGACAAACTAGTTTATAAAAGTAGGAGTTAGACCTACTCTGTATCATAATGTTACCTCTGGTTCTTGTCCTCAGCCCCAGCAAAGCTCTGTTACTTCAGCTGGTGGACCATGTGTGTGAGGGGATTGAAGAAGGAGTGCTAAGGCATGCAGAGTCCCTGTGCAGAGCCCTGGATGGAGAGCTGGACCTCAGTGAGACCAGGCTGGACCAGAAGACCTGTGGATCTCTGGCCCTGGTTCTGGAACACTCAGAGGGGCTGTCAGAACTGGACCTCAGCCACTGCCAACTCACAGACCACCACCTACAGCCCCTGCTCACACACCTGCACAAAGTTGAAGTCCTGGAGTAAGTGGGTTTCACTCTGTGTGTGTGTGTGTGTCCATGTGACTACATGACAAATATCTGATCCCTCATTCTCTTCCTGTCTCTGTGTTGTAGCCTGAGTCACAATGACATCACTGATGCTCTGACCGACAGAATACTCCAACTGGTCTCCACCAACACTTCAATACACACCGTACGGTGAGTGTGTGTGTGACTTCAGTTTGTGTGTGTGTGCGCGTGAGATCATATGGTCTCTTTTTCTGGGTGCAACTATTGATTGATGGTTATCTGTAGTGTAGTGTTCTAATAATAATGATGATGATGTTCTTCTCTACAGGCTCTTCAACAACAGAATCAATGACAGATGCCCCTTCCTGACAGACAAGAGGTTTGAGATCTGGTGAAGTAGCATCAGGTCTAAGTCCAGACAGAGGAAGAGAAGATGGATGTTGAAGATGGGTGTAGTAGCTATGAAGCCTCGGCAGGGTGAGACTAGAGAGACTTTTCTGACCAGCATCCCATTAACCTAACTTTGACCCTAACCGTAACCTAATTTTAACCAATTCTGAAATGAAATATCGGTTTTCACGTCAGCCACGTCCCCTTAGTTTTTAGCAGACGTTATCATGATGTCAGAAGAACGGCAAGTGATGTCATCAGGGATTTTGGGACTAGGGTAGTCGACAGACTACGTAAAATAAATGGTGTCATAAAAATAGTTGTGACTCCAGAACTCTTGAATGTTCAGAGTGGTGAGAGAGAGGAATGTGTAGTTTTACTTACCGCTAACAGTTCTTACTTGTATTGTCACTCAGGTCCTTAAAAACACAGGAACATTTGTAGTATAACTTGTTTTTTTTAATGTTTTGAGCTTTACGCTTTCATACTTGATGCTTTTTGTGATCAGTCAATGTGTGAAATTCCTTCAGAAGGAATACATTGTATATGCATTTTTATAGTTTAGTTTTTATCAGGTTGATGTGAATGTGTTCTACAGTTGCAGTGGGAGACTAATACATGTGTTTTGTTGCTTTCTAAGTTGCACGTCAACTGCATGGTGCTGTGTTACTCAGTCTAGCCTTGTTGAGAACCAAGCTTCCCTATTCAGAAAGCCAGAGGTGTGTTCAGTTCGCTTGAACGTTTGCTACGTTGTGGAACGGTTTGTACTGAATGACACATTTCCCCCAAAAATGTTCTTGAACAGACTTTGAGGTACGTTTGCTCCCGTTTGGTGGGTGTGGCGAGGTGTAGCTTGAAGCAATGAGTGATGTATTTAAAGGGTAGTGGCCATGCTGACAGCATTTCCCAACCCGCAACTGGTCGTTCAGTACAGCACCGTTTCCGTTCAATTGAATGTATCAGAATGTAAATACATACTGAACGCAGCCCTGGTGAAATCCATGGCAGAAAGTAGCTACAAAGGGGTGGAAACCATTGCAACACGTCAAACCAATCAAATGTCTTGCTTGGGCAGAGCTATGCCCACTAGTGCCATAGGAGCAACAGTGCGTGAAGATACCTGGGAAATCACTGATTAAAACCCCATTTTAAAAAAAATGCTTTTTTACTGTGTAAATGATTTTGATAAGAAATGTATAAATATTTTGTTTTTAATAAATGTACCTTGACGCTCATGATTTGGTTTTTGACACTGTGTTCTCTTCAGGTTGAAATCATTACTAGTAAATCCTAAATAATCTGTTTCAAGTTATTGCTGGTATTAAAGTGATCCCATCCCACATGTATTTCTTTTCATGCCAATTTAAAAGTTGAGAGCTGAGCACTATGGACCAGCAGATGGGTTTTTTAACCTACAGCCATGTTTCAGAGAGCCTTGACTGGGGTTAAAACCTACAGCCATGTTTCAGAGAGCCTTGACTGGGGTTAGAACCTACAACCATGCTTCAGAGAGCCTTGACTGGGGTTAGAACCTACAACCATGCTTCAGAGAGACTTGACTGGGGTTAGAACCTACACAATGCTGTAGAGCCTTGACCAACTCATTTCTTTATTGAGCCCACAGACAGAATCCTGAGGCTATGACTCACTCTCCAGCTAGGGGTCACTGTTGGTCCAAGTCTTTAGCTTATTATTTTAGGCCCATTATTTCCTGACAAATGTAAACTGGGATCTGTTCCAAGTCTGAAGTAGCCGGTGGCTCTTGCCCTTGAAGCATGGTGTCACAGATTCAAGCCTGGGTTGGTCAATGTGGTTGTGGTAACACTAACCTGATGGTGATAGAAGCATTGAGTTCCTTCTCCGGTTGATCCTGGTGTTCCCCCCTGTGGATTTGGAACAAAAGTGTCTACTTTGTCCTCCATATCCCCTGCTGGTTACTGTTCTACAGGGGGGAATCCCAGGATTAACCTCTCCCCACTTATCGCACCCTTCCGACCAAAAAGCCACAACCACCTTATGTGTGACAGCTATTCCCAGTAGCCTTTGCTCCCAGTAGCCTCTACTTGCTCTGCACCAGAGTGCTCAGGTTTAAGGCAACCATGATCGAGAGTCAGCACTGGTTTGGAACCTACAACGCTGTGCTTTTGGGGGGTGAGATCCTTACGCCAGAGCAACAGACTTCTTAACATTCATTACACTTCTCTTCGGATTTTGACATCGATGTTTATCGCCTGAAGCAGAAGAGTTGCGTTTTGAGGAAAGGCAAAGTACTCAAAAAAATCAATTCTAGCACTTAAAGGGCAGTAGCCTACATTGGGTGGATGTTAGTTAATCTGCAGTTATTCATCTGATATTTATTCTGTTATCAATCATATTTACATGTTAATATTATCTTCTGATTACAATTATTATGTCTCTTATCTTAACTAATTGCAATCTATTAGCTTCCAAAATGTGAGTAGGTATATCTAGCTGTCCAATAACACGTTCTGATGGAATGGCTTGTCCTGCACTTTGTAAAAACCTGCAGTGCATTGAGTGAATGTTGGAAAAAGATGCAAAAGTCTAGCAATTATAAGGTTAGGTGTTTGAATCTTATCAAAGACGACTTTGCAACTACTTAGCATGTTAGCTAACCTTAACGCTTTAACCTAGCTCCTAACCCTAACCTTAACCCCTAGCCTAGCTAGCATTAGCCACCAAGCCACCTAGCTAACGTTAGCCACAACAGATTGTAATTCGTAACATATCATACGAAATGGATGATGGACTTCCACAAATTCTACTGAAACATAAATGCAACAATTTCAAAGATTTTACTGAGTTACAGTTCATATAAGGAAATCAATAAATTGAAATAAATTAATTATGCCCTAATCTATTGATTTCACATGACTGGGAAAACAGATATGCATCTGTTGGTCACAGATACCTTTATACCCTTTAAAAAAAAGGTAGGGGTGTGGATCAGCAAACCAGTCAGTATCTGGTGTGACCACCATTTGCTTCACACGAGCGACACGTCTCCTTCGCATAGAGTTGATCAGGCTGTTGATTGTGGCCTGTGGAATGTTTTCTCACTCCTCCTCAATGGCTGTGCGAAGTTGCTGGATATTGGCGTGAACTGGAACACGCTGTTGTACACGTCGATCTAGAGCATCCCAAACATACTCAATGGGTGACATGTCTGGTGAGTTTGCAGGCCATGGAAGAACTGGGGAATTTTCATGTTTCCAGGAATTGTGTACAGATCCTTGCGACATGGGGCCGTGCATTATCATGCTGAAACATGAGATGATGGCGGCGGATGAATGGCCCGACAATGGCCATCAGGATCTCGTCAAGGTATCTCTGCATTTTAAGAGCTGTTTGAAAAGACTGTTTTGGTGGGATGGAGTTTTGGCTTTTCATGGTGACATCACCATGCGGTTAATTAGTTAATAGACCAATAAGAAAGGGGGTTCCAAAACTGTCTGCCAATAACATCACATTTTCTGTTTTCCCCTTCCCACTCAGACCCTTCCCAGACAGTCCTAGCTAAATTATTTCTTGAGAAATTGCTCTTTATTTCTTTTTGACCATTTTAATTGATAACAATCACTGTAAGGTACTTAATTGTCACAGATAAATTGTTAGATTTTGACATTAAAAAACGTCTGCATTAGACCTTTTAAAACAATTCCATATGCCATCTTAGTAGATGTCACCATCTAGAGGCTTAGACACTAGGCGGTTAAAAAGGTAAGCGATAAGGAGTCACAAATCACAACTACTGAAGATCAAAGCACCATTGCATTTCAAGTGTGAAAGAGCTCTTGATACATTGTCAGTCCCACTACGATACATTCAAGTTTTGATTTACGTTTTGTATGTTTTTCTTTCCCCAGGTTAAAAACCCGTCACTGAATTGAAGGCCTTCTGTATTCAGGAAGCATCACTTCAGCTTCATGCTCATCAAAAGAGAATGGCAAAATCAGTATGATGCAGTTCAGGTGTACAATGTTTTTGTATTTGTATTTATTAAGGATCCCCATTAGCTGCTGCCAAGACAGTCCTTCTCTTCCATGCCAACCTCAGGTGGTACCCAGGCAGTGTCATAGCCATGCACGTGTGCCAGGTCTTCTGCTTGGGGTGGTTCTTCTCTTCTATGATAATAACCTTCCCCACATCCACTCTGACTTGAAGTACTCTTTTCTTCCAGTAGGGACACCAGAGAGTATTCAATGGCTTCTAGAATGTCCCGACTGACAAAGACACCAGCTCCAAGAACACTGTAGTCTGCACTTGGTGTGAAACCATTCTTCTTAATTAACTCTGTTGTGGTGCCTTGGAACATCACATGTTCTGTCTGATCTTCAGGGAGTGTGTTGCTGTCTAGATAGTTGATGTAGTATGGGGAGTTAGCCATAAGCTAGTAACCAACTGCAGCTGAATACACCTCTGCTGAGATGAGCTGTAATATAAGTCAAAACAATGCACAATTACACTTTGTAATAGCAGGCCATAATTAAATAGTCCTTTAACTGAAACTGTTACACAAAATAGTGATATGTATGCAATAACAATATGCTGAATCACTATTGTTACAGTAATATTACAATAGTGTTGTTGTAACATTATTATGAATAACATTTTATACTCTATAAAGAGGGATTGTTTGATATATATCAGTGAAGTGGTCAATAGCAAAACTGTTAATTTGTCTAGAATTACAGAAGATTGTTCTTACCTGCTATTGCTAGACAAATGCAGGATTATTAAACAGTATTCTTAGGAAACCTACAGTAGTGCTTCTTACAGAGTGCTTTAGTGCTTTAATTTCCTGGTTTAAACTCGTCTCTACACAAAGATTGATAAGGCACATAGAGTAGGGTTCTCCAACTGGTGGGCCAGTTCAATTGTTGGACATAAAAGACTATAAAAACACCAGCACATCAGCTCCAAGTGATTTTAATTTTGGGAAATCTGTTCCAAAGTATTCCCACGCATAATAGAGGTTTGAAATTATGTTTTAGTCTAATATTATATTTGTTTGCGCTTCTTGTGGTCAATTTGCAGTCTACAAATTATTTGTAATTATGTTCCGGCCCCCTGACCATCCGTTCAAGAAACAAAATCGGCCATGCGCCTGAATCTAGTGGATGATCGCTGATCTAGAGCATAGTCCATCAGAATGTATAACCCTGATCAAATCACGTTCTATTGGTCACATACACATGTTTAGCAGATGTTATTGCGGGTGTAGCGAAATGCTTGTACAAAAAATGTACCTCTATGTAAGGGAAAAGCAACCACACCCACTCAGATAGTAGAGGTAGTCTAACACGTTCATAACCATAAACATATATGGTTTCCCAATCTGAGCATTTCAAAACTGCTGACGCCTTTTACAAACAGTGAGAACTCAGCTGCCACCAGTTGGAAACTGGAACACACCATTATTATAAGTCTATGGAAGACACACAACATTGTCTAAATTAGTTCATATATTTCCGCAACACAGATACTTCAACAGATTAACTGATTGAAATTCGGAGGGGGGGAAACACAAGAAACAATGTGGGAAACGTGTTTATTTGAGATTTATTATAGGAACAAGGATCATTGATACACATGCATTATTTACATGAAGTAAATATGACACATATTTGATATGATAAGGTTATATGATTGATTGCATATAGATTGCCATGTGAAATCATCGTGTGGGCCTGCAAAATAAAGCATCCTCTTCCTATGAACTGCTTTATGGGGGACCGTCTGATTCTAACCATCCTCATCTGATGACCATGAGTTGATGCTGGATGCTCCCTCTGAATGCAGAACGCCATCAGTTCTACAGTGACGGGTTTAACCTGCAGGAAAGAGGATAGAATACAACATGTCTAAATTAAAACCTGCATGTATGTATAGTGGGGCTCACATCAAGTGCCCTTAAACACTTCTACTGTAGGGGTACTTCCATTGTTGTGATAAGGTACTGACTGTGGCTCAATATCACTCACATTTTCATGGTGGACACTTTCAGCATTGCCAACACTTTGATTCTCTTTGGGTCGTAGACACATTCTTCCTCTTGGTTGCTCGTCACCATGTCAACACCAGGTGGAACCCAGGCAGTGTCATACCCATGCTTAGTATGCCAGTTGTATTGCATGTCGTGACCCTGCACATCAATGATCTTAACCCTGCCAACATCCACCTTCACTTTCAGAACCATCCTGTCTGAGTCATCAGCAACAATGGGGTATTTAATGGCTTTTCTGATGTCTCGACTGACATAGACACCCGCACCAAGCATTCCATCTGTGGATGGTTTGAGGCCATATCTCTGTATTTCTACTGCAGCCTGTTTTGATGTTCCATGATACATCACATAGACGTGGCTGTCCTCAGGGGTGACTCCACTCTGAAGATGACGGTATCTAGATCTGTATGACAGGGAGACCGTTGTTGCTTCAATATGATATTATATTAGCTTCTATTCGCTACATAGTTTATTTAAAATAATGATTTGTTAAAAGAGACTTGATTTTAAGGCCATTATGGAAATTTAGATTTTTGGAATTCCTGGTCATCTGACCTCCCAAACTAGGCTCTAAAAACAAATCAGTTGGAAAGCTCTAGAATGTATCTGTTGCATCATCGTAGGTAAAACCAATCAGAGGGTTTGCACTACAACAGTCTCTTTCCTACTTACATAGTATTTTTGTTTACTTTCATAACCTCCATTACTGTGATTCTCTTTGGGTCGTAGACACAGTTCTCCTGTTGGTTGCTTTCTACCATATTGACCCCAGGTGGAACCCAGGCGGTGTCATATCCATGCTCGGTGTGCCAGGTCTTCTGCATGGGGTGATCCTGCTGGTCTATGATCTTCACCTTCCCTACATCCACTCTGACTTTTAGTACTCTTCTCTTAGATTTGGAAACACCAGGAGGGTATTTACAGGCTTTTTGAATGTCCCGTGTAACATAAACACCAGCACCAAGCATGCTGATATCTGCTCTTGATGGTATGAAGCCATTCTTCTTAATCAGCTCTGCAGCCTCTATTGAGGTGCCATGGAACATCACATATGTTCTTTGATCCTCGGGATGTTCACCAGTGTCAAGAAAGTTGTCTAAGTATGGAGAGTTTGGTTTCATTTTCCTCAGGTAAGCCCTAGTCAACATGATGATTCTAGCTGTGAAAACCTGTGGCAAAAATATGCTTTTATGAATAGACAATCTTCTGCAATCCTGTAGTAACGATTTAGATATCCAACTGTGCCTTCAGAAAGCATTCATACCTCTTGACTTATTCCACATTTGGTTGTGTTACAGCCTGAATTCAAAAGGGATTCAATTGTTGTTTTTTTATCACCCATCTACACACATATATACCATAATGACAAAGTGAAAACATGTTTTTAGAAATGTTAGCAAATGTATTGAAAATGAAATACAGAAATATCTCATTTACATAAGTATTCACACCCCTTTGCTATGAGACTCCAAATTGAGCTCAGGTGCATCCAATTTCCTTTGATCATCCTTGATGTCACTACAACTTGATTGGAGTCCACCTGTGGCCAATTCAATTGTTTGGAAATTATTTAGAAAGAAACACCTGCCTATATAAGGTACCACAGTTGATGGTGGATGTCAGAGCAGAAACTATACCATGAAGTCCAAGAAACTGTCTGTAGATCTCTGATATATAATTGTGATGAGGCATATATCTGAGAGAGGGTATAAAACAATTTCTAGAGTGTTGAACGTTTCCAAGAGCACAGTGGTCTACATCATTGGGAAATTGAAAAAAATATGGAACTACCCAGACTCTGCCTAGAACTGTCCGTCCGACCAAATTGGGCAAGAAGGACCTTGGTCAGGGAGGTGACCAAGAACCCAATGACCACTGACAGAACTACAGAGTTCCTTGGCTGAGATGGGAGAACCAGCCAGAAGGACAACAGTCTCTACAGCACTTCACCAATCTGGGCTTTATGGGAGAGTGACCTGATTGAAGCCACTCCAGAGAAAAAGGCACATGATAGCACGACTGTAGTTTACAAAAGGGCACATGAAAGACAGAGCATAAGGTAAAAGATTCTGTGGTCTAATGAGACCAACATTTTACTCTTTGGCCTGAATGCAAAGCACTATGTCTGGAGAAAACCAGGCACAGATCATCACCTGTCTAACACCATCCCTACCGTGAAGCATGGTGGGGGCAGCATCATGCTATGGGTGGCAGGGACTGGGAGACTGGTAAGGATAGAGTGGAGCCAAATATAGGCAAATCCTTGATGAGAACCTGCTTCAGATTGAAAACAACCTTAGACTGGAGCGAAAATTCACGTTCCAACAGCATAAAGCCAAAGCAACACTGGAATGGCTGCAGAACAAGATTGTGAAAGTCCTTGAGTGGCCCAGACAAAGCCCAAACTTGAATCCCATTGAATATCTGTGGAAAGACTTGAAGATCGCTGTTCACCGCCGCTCCCTATCTAATTTAGCAGAGCTTGAGAAAATCAGCAAGGAAGACTGGGAGAAAATCCCCAAATACAGATGTGCAAAGCTGATCAAATAAAATAAAATAAAAATAAAATGTTATTTGTCACATACACGTGTTTAGCAGATGTTATAGTGGGTGTAGCGAAATGCTTGTGCTTCTAGCTCCGACAATGCAGTAATATCTAACAAGTAATATCTAACAATTTCACAACATATACCCAATACACACAAAACTAGTAAGGAATGGAATTTAAGACTAAGATTCAGGCTGTAACACAACAAAATGTGGAATAAGTCAAGAGGTATGAATACTTTCTGAAGGCACTGTACATGTGGAAGGAAACTGAAGTGTAATAAAATGGGACTCCGCCTGCACATTGTAAATATTTGCCAATTAAATATTAACGCCAGTAACCGAAAGGTCGCTGGTTCTAATCCCCCGAGCCGACTAGGTGAAAAATCTGACAATGTGCCCTTAAGCAAGGCACTTAACCCTAATTGCTCATGTAAGTCGCTCTGGATAAGAGAGTCTGCTAAATGACTAAAATGTAAATGTAAATGTCGATCACAAATAGACCTTATCCAGGCTATTAATTCAGAAATTGCAAATGCTATTGCCAACTATTGTGTTGCCTTAGGATATTTATTTGACTCACATGAAGAATACGTCAATAGTGGTATTTTACAAGCCATTATTGAAACTTGTTTGTAATGTTATAAATACATTATAATTCAGATAATCTCTATTGCATCATTCACTTTTATAGAAAATACAATATCTTGGATTACATTCCTCTGGCTTGTGATTTAAACTTTTTCAATGCGATGTTAACATACATGAAGTAGCTAATAAGCAACTTTCTAAAAAGTCAGAATATAATTTGGTCATCCTTACCTGCTACTGTGGAATCAGATTCAACCAACCAGTCAGACTAATTCAGGATTATAGGAGAGTTTAGGTCTCGTTTCTCCTCTGTTTCCTCTCCCTCGCTCTCTCCCTCCCCCTCTCTCTCTCAAATTCTAATTTGAGAGAGAGAGAGAGCAAAGTCCATCCATATTTATGACCACGACATCTCTTTGCTATTGAAAAGCTACCACACCCACTCAGATGAGAAAGAAGCCTATTTTAATGGGTACATAAACATGTATGATACATCTTAATATTGCGAGATCTCTGGAGCATTTTGAAATTGCAATGCTGACACCTTTGACCAGTAAATTGATGTCCGTAGTCTTTATACATCAGACTAAGATCAGTTGTTGTGTCAATCTGAACAGTGAGCACACAGCTGTCATTTGCGACTAAATGGAAGACACTATTAGTCTATAGAAGACACACATTGATTAATATTATATATTTTGTTCAGTGGGTACATTATTTAACTAGGTAAGTCAGTTAAGAACAAATTCTTATTTACAATGACGGCCTACCCTTGCCAAACCCTCCCCTAACCCGGACAATTGTGCGCCACACTATGGGACTCCCGATCACAGCCGGATGTAATACAGCCCGGGATCGAACCCGGGTCTGTAGTGACGCCTCTAGCACTGTGATGCAGTGCCTTAGACCACTGCGCCACTCGGTCCCCGAGTGCAGTATTGTACAGATAACTGCCAAAATAAAGGAAACACCAACATAAAGCGTCTTAATAGGGCATTGCGCCACCAGAACAGTTTCAGTGCACCTTGGCATAAATTCTACAAGTGTCTGGAACTCTATTGGAGGGAGGCGACACCATTCTTCCACAAAAAATTCCATCATTTTGTGTTTGTGGAAAACGCTCCAGAATCTGCCATAAGTGTTCAATTGGGTTGAGATCTGGTGACAGAATGCCATGGCATATGGTTTACATCGTTTTCATGCTCATCAAACCATTCCTGTGGATGGGGGCATTGACATCCTATGGGGTCATAGAAATGGTAGCCAAAATAATGGCCTGCCCAGCATTTAATTGATTAATTATCTCAGGAACCACACCTGTGTGGAAGCACCTGCTTTCAATATACTTTGTATCCCTCATTTACTTAAGAGTTTCCCGTATTTTGGCAGTTACCTGTATATTGCACTTCAACAGGATTATTCATACTTACAAGTCTTCTTAGGTTACCTTCAAGACCTCGATGATGTTGCTTCTTTTTCAGTTGTAAACACAGTCCTCCTTTTGGTTTTGGTCGGAACCATGACAACTCCAGGTGGAACCCAGGCAGTATCATACTCAGGGTGCCAGGTCTTCCCCTTCGGGTGGTACTGCCCGTCTATGATAATGGCCTTCCTCACATCCACTCTGACTCTAATGGGCAATTTCAAAATGTTCCAACTTCATATTCATCATCCCCAACATCAACATATGTGAAAACAGAGCGTTTGTATGTTTCGTAGTAAAAAAGATTACATCATCGGTGTGCATTGTGTGATTTATGAGTAGACATTGTCTACTAATTGTATACTAAATGCCTATTAATTGTATACTAATTGCCTACTCATTGTCTACTAATTGTGCACTAAATGACTACTAATTGACTGATGATGTCATTGTAAACACATCTTCCTTTTTTACTACAAAACATAGAAGCGCGCCATTTTCACATATGTTGACGTTGGTGTGGTGCTGGAGATGATGAATATGAACTTTAAACATTTTGAAATGTCCCTTTAAGTACTATTTTCTTAGTGTCTAGAACACCAAGAGGGTTTCTACTGGATTTTCGGTGTCAGAAGTGGATGGTTCGAATCAGACAGTCCAGCATGATGCAGTAACAGTTCACAGTAAGAAAACGCTGTATGACTGTTACGTGAATTATTTAACAAACTATTTCAGTGTCTCTGTGCGTCTTCCAAAAGGTTGTAAGTCTTTTGGGATTTAAGTAACGGACAGAGTCCCGGTCTGCATAGTCAGAGATATTTATTCATTGAGAATTCTGCCATCACAATTTCAGAGTCCATCTTTTATACTCATACGTTATACAAAAAAAAATCCCTCCCCTCTGTAGGCGGGCTGTAGTTTTCCACTCTAAAACTGCTCTACTGACCATCAGTTCACACACACACTGTCACACCCTGGTTCTGGGACTCTTTATGTTGAGCCAGGGTGTGTTCATTCTATGTCGATGTTGGGGGTTCTAGTTTGTTTTATTCTAGTTTTGACGATGTGACTCCCAATCAGAGGCAACGAGTGTCAGCTGTTTGCTGGTTGTCTCTGATTGGGAGCCATATTTAACTGTCTGTGTTTCACTTTGGGTTTGTGGGTTTTTGTTCCGTGTTCGGTCATTGTCACCGTGACGTCACGAGTCGGTTCTTGTTTTGTTTAGTGTGCTTATTTCACTGACGGTAATAAAGTAAGTCATGTTTGTTCATCACGCTGCGCCTTGGTCTACTCCTTACCTCGATCGTGACAAAAAAACCCACCATACCAAGACCAAGCAGCGTGTCCAGGAGCAGCAGCCTGGACGTGGGAGCAGATCTTGGACGGGCAGGGGTCCGGACCTGGGAGGAAATCCTGGCCGGGATGGATCGCCGGCCATGGAGTGAGACTGTAGAGAGGCGACGGAGAGAGGAGCAACGGCGTGATCAGGGTCGTCGTCGGACGGTCGAGAGGCAACCCCAAATAATTTTTAGGGGGGGGCACAGGGCATGGATGACGGGGCTGACGGAGGCAGAAAAGGGGCGTATTCAAAAGGCCACCAGGTTACGGGGGTCACTGGTAAAGGAAGGGAAGGAAGGTTTAGAGGCACGGCGAGAGGTACTGGGATGTGTTACCAGTCCGGTCCGGCCCGTTCCAGATCCCGGGGTAGAGCCAGTGGTGTGTGTCCCCAGTACGGTCCGGCCTGTTACGGCCCCTCGCACCAAATGGACGGTGCGCGTCGCCAGCCCGGTCTGGCCTGTTCCTGCCTCTCGCACCAAGCCTACGGTGTGCGTCGCCAGCCCGGTCCGGCCTGTCCCTGCTCCACGCACCAAGCCTACGGTGTGCGTCGACAGCCCAGCCCGGCCTGTCCCTGCTCCACGCACCAAGCCTACAGTGTGCGTCGCCAGCCCGGTCCGGCCTGTCCCTGCTCCATGCACCAAGCCTACGGTGTGCGTCGACAGCCCAGCCCGGCCTGTCCCTGCTCCACGCACCAAGCCTACGGTGTGCGTCGACAGCCCAGCCCGGCCTGTCCCTGTTCCACGCACTAAACCTACGGTGCGCGTCGCCAGCCCGGTCCGGCCTGTTCCTGCCACCCGCACCAAGTCTACGGTGCGCGTCGCCAGCCCGACCCGGCCTGTTCCTGCCACCCGCACCAAGCCTACGGTGTGCGTCGACAGCCCAGCCCGGCCTGTCCCTGTTCCACGCACTAAACCTACGGTGCGCGTCGCCAGCCCGGTCCGGCCTGTTCCTGCCACCCGCACCAAGTCTACGGTGCGCGTCGCCAGCCGTCCCCTGTTTTGTTTAGTTGAGGCGCGGTCGCAGTCCGCGCCTTTAGGGGGGGGTACTGTCACACCCTGGTTCTGGGACTCTTTATGTTGAGCCAGGGTGTGTTCATTCTATGTCGATGTTGGGGGTTCTCACATATACACACATGCATACACACACACACACACACACACACACACACACACACACACACACACACACACACACACACACACACACACACACATAGCCTACTCCCTGCATTACTCAGTTATTGCCGTTCTCACAATATTCTGCACCTTGTTTTCATAACAGTTTCTCCCCTCCCTAAATTGGGAGGCCTCTTTATCTTAGTTTCTCAGTTGTCTGTAGACAGTTCTCCTTGTCCTTTGTTGTCTGGCCTAACTCTTACTCACATTGCCAAATAGTGGCTCAATGCCATAGCCTTTACTGGTCCTACACTCACACATTTCTAACACATTATACACAGTTTCAGGGTGTAATAATTAGTCATTAATAATTAATCTATCAATGACACAATAGGCTGATGATTTGACATGGCAATCTATGTGCAATCAATCATATAACCTTATCATATCACATATTTTAGAAATATAATCAATCATATTTACTTGATGTCAATAAGTAAATATTCTCTTCCTATAATACATCTCAAATAAACTGTAGAGGTTCCCCATACTGTTTGAATATTTTACCCTCCACAAAATCCAATCAGGCATTATTAATCTACAGCGTCTATGGTGCAGAAATATATTGCCAATATTGGTCAATGTTGTATCTTCCATAGACGTATTAATGGTGTCTTCCTGTTAGTCGCAGACAACAGTTGTGTGATCGCTGTTCAGATTGACACAACACATTACTCATTCTGATCCTAGTCTGATATATAAAGACTAAGAACATCAAATGATTTGTCAAAGGTGTCAGCGTTGCAATTTTAAAATGCTCCAGAGATACGGCATGACCTATCACGTGTTTATGGTCATGCACCCATTAGACTAGATTATAATGTGAGTGGGCATGCTTTTTACTTACAAAGAAACAGGAAGCCAAACGTTTTACTCAAGAGACCGCCGAGGTGGCCGAAGGCGAGTACTGTATGGACTTCCGCTTGTTGAGGAAGTTTTGGCGGTGGAGGAAAAATTATGTCTAATAGACAGCTGTGGGATAAGGAGACGTATACTTGGATGGCGGAGGAGGAATGGAAGGAAAAAGAGAGGCAGAGGAGGTCTAAGAGAGAGAGGGAGGAAGATTGTGAGCTTGAGTCGGGGGAAAATAGCGGGGAAAAGGGATAAGGTTTGGTAAAGAAGAATGGTAGGAAATGTAAGCAAAGTGAGCTGAAGACAGGAGGAGAAATGGAAGTGAGTGAGGGTGAAGTATCGGAGGTGGTAGGTGTGGTGAAGTACTCGGAGCCCGAGGCTTGCATAAAGATGAGTCTGTGACAGTAGGAGTGAAGTTTTTGGAAAAAGTGGACCCTTGCCTTTTGGCTGATCCATTTGTGGTTTCAGGATGGGTGAAAAAAGCGTTGGGTTTAGTGGAATCGGTGAGGGTAACCAGAAGTGGTCTAGTGATAATTGTTTGTGTTTCTGCTGGTCAGAGGGAGAAGGCGCTCAGAGTTAAACAAATGGGGGAAAGAATTGTGAGTTGTTTCGCACTCAAGAAAAGGGTGTCATTGAAAGGAGTGATTACTGTGTAAAAGTTGACCAACTGAAGGGGAAGATTCCCGGTGTTTGTGATGCTCGTCGTTTGGTGCGACGCAGACAGGGTGGTGAGAGTGGTGAAACAGAAGCGTCATTGTCTGTTATTTTGAGTTTTGAAGTTGAGTCTTTGCCTGACAAAGTGAAGTTATGATATATAAGTTATCCTGTACGAGCTTATGTGCCAAATACATTACGATGTTACAGGTGTCAAACTTATGGGCATGTGGCAGCAGTATGTAGGAGGGAGGTTCCAAGGTGTGAGAAGTGTGCAGAAGGGCATGAGACAAAGGAATGTGTAGCATTGGGGGAAGTAGTGGTATGTGCTAATTGTAGGGGTGCCCATGGGGCTGGGGACCAGAAATGTCCCGTACGAGAGAAGCAGGTTGAGGTTTCCAGGGTAAGAGTAGTGAAGAAGTTGTCATATGCTGAGGCAGTGAAGAAAGTAGAAGAAGATGGGTCAAGGGGGAGGGATCCTGAGAGGAGTGGTGTGAGTAGTAGATCTGTACCAGTACAGAGGGATAGGCCAACAAGTGATATATGTTTCAGTAAGATGGGATTTTTAGCGTTAATAGCAATGGTTATTAATTGTACTGCAGGGATGGAACGTAAGTCGAAGAAAATTGAGGTTGTGGTAGCAGCTGCAGAGAGGTATTTGGGTGTGCGAGATTTGACATCAGAAGAGTTACAGGGAGTGTTAAGTGGTGATGTCCCATCATTTCAGGTTGAGGGCAAAAGGTAGAAATTAATATATTTAAATAGTGGAGAAGGGTGGTGCTAATTGTTAATAATAATTTTGAATCTGTGAGTGTAGTGTTAGATGGTAGGGTATTTCTTTATTTTGGTTTAATTTTCAAGCAAATATAAGGGAGTTGTAGTCCAGTCTAGTAGGTGGCGGTAATGCAACAAATTGGATGCCAACCACCGTTAAACCTCATTGAAGAAGAAGAAGAAGAAGTTTTACTCAAGAACCAGGAAATGAAACTTGAGTAGAGTGAAACACTCACATACGGTATAATCCTGCATTCGTCTGTCAGTATAGCGGGTGAGAATAATCTTATTTGAAACACTAGACAAGCTACCTATCTTAATATTGAACATTTTATATATGTCCCCTGTAGCTCAGTTGGTAGAGCATGGCGCTTGCAACGACAGGGTTGTGGGTTCATTTCCCACGGGGGGCCAGTATGAAAAATGTATGCACTAACTGTAAGTCGCTCTGGATAAGAGCGTCTGCTAAATGACAAAAATGTAAAATACTGTTTTGTTTACTAGTCTGTACTTGAGAACGTTATAATGCTATTCTAATACTATTGGATCATTGATTCTGGATACTTTGAATAGTTATTTAAACATTACAATTTAAAATTTACAAAATAATTTTCAAGATGGCTAGTCCTTACTAATTATTTTTGGGATTACAGCTCATTTATCAGAGGTGTATTCAGCTGCAGTTTGATCACTATGGCTTTGAAGGGGTACACCAAGCAGAAGAACAAAACAAATTCACCATACTACTTAGAAAACATTCTTGAGACTAATGAGCATCCCGAGGATCACAGAGAATATGTGATGTTCCATGGCACCACAAAAGAGGCTACAGAGTTGATTAAGAAGAATGGTTTCACACCATCAACCGAAGAACTTGGGCTTGGTGTGTATGTAAGTCGAGATTTCGGAAAAGCAATGAAATACCCCCTTGGTGTTTCCAACTCTAAGAGAAGAGTACTAAAAGTCAGAGTGGATGTAGGGAAGGTGAAGATCATAGACCAGCAGGGTCACCCCATGCAGAAGACCTGGCACACCGAGCATGGATATGACACCGCCTGGGTTCCACCAGGGGCCAGTATGATGCTGAGCAATGAACAGGGGAACTGTGTCTACGACCCAAAGAGAATCAAAGTCATGCAGGTCATGAAAGTAAAAGAAAACAACATGTAAGTATAAAATAAACTGTTGATAAAGCACTGCTAACTCTCTCTTGGTTTTACCTGTCATGGTGTTGGACAACTTCACAGCAGTCAATTGTGTTATTGTGGCTTTCCACTGGAATTGTTTTATTTTAATTGTTTTAATTGTTTTAATTGTTTTATAGCCTATTTGTGGAGGGCTTACAAATTAGTTTGAGATATTTTGCCTCAAACTTAAAATACTGCAACTATAGAAGGTTGTACTTTTATCACAATTCTGCAGACTGTCTCCCTGTCTAACAGATCTAGACACCGTCATCTTCAGAGTGGAGTCACCCCTGAGGACAGCCACGTCTATGTGATGTATCATGGAACATCAAAACAGGCTGCAGTAGAAATACAGAGAAATGGATTCAAACCATCCACAGATGGCATGCTTGGTGCGGGTGTCTATGTCAGTCGAGACATCAGAAAAGCCATTAAATACCCCATTGGTGCTGATGACTCAGACAGGATGGTTCTGAAAGTGAAGGTGGATGTTGGCAGGGTTAAGATCATTGATGTGCAGGGTCACGACATGCAATACAACTGGCATACTAAGCATGGGTATGACACTGCCTGGGTTCCACCTGGTGTTGACATGGTGCGGAGCAACCAACAGGAGAACTGTGTCTACGACCCAACGAGAATCAAAGTCATGGCATTGCTGAAAGTGGCCATCTTGAAAAAGTATGGAATATTGAACTACTCTCACAAATCACTAGATGGACGTTTTTATTTTCCTAGAAGGCTCGCACTTGAAATATAAACCCCACTACTTGCAGGTTTTAAAAGATACGTTTTGTATTTGTTTCTCTGTCCTCAGGTTAAACCCGTCACTGGAGGTGGAGGTTTGAAGGTGTTCTACATTCAAGGAGCATTACACTTCATGTTCATCTGGATAAGAGGATATAGCATGCTGTTATAGCTAGACATTCAATATTGCATAGGAAGAAGCTATATTTTGCAATAGGTTTACTGATTATTGGCAATCTACGTACTGTATATGCAATCAATATAACCATATCCCATTTCAAAAATCTAATCAATGATATTCACTTTATGTAAATTAGGCGTGTATCAATGATCATAATTGTTCGAAATAATTTTCTTCCTATAATAAATCTCATGTAAACCTCTAAAAGTTACCCATTGTTTGAGTGTGTTTTCCCCTCTCAAAAATTATTTAATCAAAGCATCTTTGTGTGGAAATATTAACAATATTTAGTCAATGTTGTGTGTCTGCCATAGGTTTATAAGGTGTCTTCCAGTTTGCCTCTGGTGGCAGCGGAGTGCTCACTACTGTTTGCCAAAGGTGTCAGCAGTTGTCAATGTCAGCTTGGTGGAATACTTTATGTTTATGGTTATGAATTTATTAGACTACCTCATTTACTATCTGTGTTGGCGTGGTTGCGTTTCCCTTACATAGAGGTATCAGGGTTCTACATTCTGATGGAATAGTATGCTCTCTAGAGACATAGAGAGATAGCTATTTGTGGCAGGTGTGCCCTCTATCCATCTCTATGTCTAGTGACGAGTGGAAACCAGGAAATGAAACCTAAGCACAGTAGAGGGTCGTCACTAGTTACCTCAGCCACAAAGTCTTAAACCGCGCCTATTTCTTATTAAAATGTGATTTTTAACCGAACCCTAAGCTTAACCCTAACCGTAACCACACTGCTAACCCTTATGCCTAACCCTAACCTTAAATTAAAACCAAAAAGCTAATTTTAGTTTACATTATTGTTTTTGTGGCCGTGGTAACTAGTGGAAACCACAGCAGGGAGATCAGTAAGAAGCACTAAGCATACGCAGTATAATAAACAACACTGTCTTTATTAAACAGTCTTGTTATTGGACACTTAACTGAGATATATCAAACAATCCCTGTTTACAAAGTACATTTCTATGTTAAGCATGATCCTGTTACAACACTTGTAATATTACTGTAACAATAGTGATTCAGCATTACATTTTAGTCATTTAGCAGACACTCTTATCCAGAGCGACTTACAGTTAGTGAGTGCATACATTTTCATACTGGCCCCCCGTGGGAAACGAACCCACAACCCTGGCGTTGCAAGCACCATCTACCAACTGAGCTACAGGGGACATATTGTTGTTGTATAAACATCACCATTTTGTGTAACAGTTTCAGTTAAAGGACTATTAAATTTTTTGTACAAGCATTTCGCTACACCCACAATAACATCTGCTAAACACGTGTATGTGACCAATAGAACGTGATTTGATCATGGTTATACATTCTGATGGACTATGCTCTAGGACAGCGATCATCCACTAGATTCAGGCGCAGGGCCGATTTTGTTTCTTGAACGGATGGTCAGGGGGCCGGAACATACAGTGAGGGAAAAAAGTATTTGATCCCCTGCTGATTTTGTACGTTTGCCCACTGACAAAGAAATTATCCGTCTATAATTTTAATGGTAGGTTTATTTGAACAGTGAGAGACAAAATAACAACAAAAAAATCCAGAAAAACGCATGTCAAAAATGTTATAAATTGATTTGCATTTTAATGAGGGAAATAAGTATTTGACCCCTCTGCAAAACATGACTTAGTACTTGGTGGCAAAAACCCTTGTTGGCAATCACAGAGGTCAGACGTTTCTTGTAGTTGGCCACCAGGTTTGCACACATCTCAGGAGGGATTTTGTCCCACTCCTCTTTGCAGATCTTCTCCAAGTCATTAAGGTTTCGAGGCTGACGTTTGGCAACTCGAACCTTCAGCTCCCTCCACAGATTTTCTATGGGATTAAGGTCTGGAGACTGGCTAGGCCACTCCAGGACCTTAATATGCTTCTTCTTGAGCCACTCCTTTGTTGCCTTGGCCGTGTGTTTTGGGTCATTGTCATAATGGAATACCCATCCACGACCCATTTTCAATGCCCTTGCTGAGGGAAGGAGGTTCTCACCCAAGATTTGACGGTACATGGCCCGTCCATCGTCCCTTTGATGCGGTGAAGTTGTCCTGTCCCCTTAGCAGAAAAACACCCCCAAAGCATAATGTTTCCACCTCAATGTTTGACGGTGGGGATGGTGTTCTTGAGGTCATAGGCAGCATTCCTCCTCCTCCAAACATGGCGAGTTGAGTTGATGCCAAAGAGCTCGATTTTGGTCTCATCTGTCCACAACACTTTCACCCAGTTCTCCTCTGAATCATTCAGATGTTCATTGGCAAACTTCAGACGGCCCTGTATATGTGCTTTCTTGAGCAGGGGGACCTTGCGGGCGCTGCAGGATTTCAGTCCTTCACGGCGTAGTGTGTTACCAATTGTTTTCTTGGTGACTATGGTCCCAGCTGCCTTGAGATCATTGACAAGATCCTCCCGTGTAGTTCTGGGCTGATTCCTCACCGTTCTCATGATCATTCCAACTCCACGAGGTGAGATCTTGCATGGAGCCCCAGGCCGAGGGAGATTGACAGTTCTTTTGTGTTTCTTCCAGTTGCAAATAATCGCACCAACTGTCACCTTTTCACCAAGCTGCTTGGCGATGGTCTGGTAGCCCATTCCAGCCTTGTGTAGGTCTACAATCTTGTCCCTGACATCCTTGGAGAGCTCTTTGGTCTTGGCCATGGTGGAGAGTTTGGAATCTGATTGATTGATTGCTTCTGTGGACAGGTGTCTTTTATACAGGTAACAAGCTGCGATTAGGAGCACTCCCTTTAAGAGTGTGCTCCAAATCTCAGCTCGTTACCTGTATAAAAGAGACCTGGGAGCCAGAAATCTTTCTGATTGAGAGGGGGTCAAATACTTATTTCCCTCATTAAAATGCAAATCAATTTATAACATTTTTGACATGCGTTTTTCTGGATTTTTTTGTTGTTATTCTGTCTCTCACTGTTCAGATAAACCTACCATTAAAATTATAGACTGATCATTTCTTTCAGTGGCCAAACGTAAAGAATCAGCAGGGGATCAAATACTTTTTTCCCTCACTGTAATTACAAATAATTTGTAGACTGCAAATTGATCGCAAGAAGCCCAAACAAATATAATATTAGACTAAAACATAGTTTCAAACCTCTATTATGTGTGGGAATACTTTGGAACAGATTTCCCAAAATTAAAATCACTTGGAGCTGATGTGCTGGTGTTTTTACAGTCTTTTACATTTGAGTCATTTAGCAGACGCTCTTATCCAGAGCGACTTACAGTTAGTGCATACATTATTTTTTTTATTTTCATACTGGCCCCCCGTGGGAATCGAACCCACAACCCTGGCGTTGCAAACGCCATGCTCTACCAACTGAGCTACCTCCCTGCCGGCCATTCCCTCCCCTACCCTGGGCCAATTGTGCGCCGCCCCATTGGTCTCCCGGTTGCGGCCGGCTACAGCAGAGCCTGGATTCAAACCAGGATCTCTAGTGGCCTTAGACCACTGCGCCACTCGGGAGACTTTTATCTCCAACAATTGAACTGGCCCACCAGTTGGAGAACCCTACTCTATGTGCCTTATCAATCTTTGTGTAGAGACGAGTTTAACCAGGAAATTAAAGCACTAAAGCACTCTGTAAGAAGCACTACTGTAGGTTTCCTAAGAATACTGTTTAATAATCCTGCATTTGTCTATCAATAGCAGGTAAGAACAATCTTCTGTAATTCTAGACAAGTTAACAGTTTTGCTATTGACCACTTCACTGATATATATCAAACAATCCCTCTTTATAAAGTATAAAATGTTATTCATAATAATGTTACAACATTATTGTAATATTACTGTAACAATAGTGATTCAGCATATTGTTATTGTATACATATCACTATTTTGTGTAACAGTTTCAGTTAAAGGACTATTTAATTATGGCCTGCTATTACAAAGTGTAATTGTGCATTGTTTTGACTTATATTACAGCTCATCTCAGCAGAGGTGTATTCAGCTGCAGTTGGTTACTAGCTTATGGCTAACTCCCCATACTACATCAACTATCTAGACAGCAACACACTTCCTGAAGATCAGACAGAACATGTGATGTTCCAAGGCATCACAACAGAGTTGATTAAGAAGAAGACCTGGCACACTGTGCATGGCTGTGGCACTGCCTGGGTACCACCTGAGGTTGGAATGGGCCGCGAGCTGCCCAGTGACACAAGACTTCCAGACGAGCTAAACCACTTCTTTGCTCGCTTTGGGGCAAGCAACACTGAAGCATGCATGAGAGCACCAGCTGTTCCGGATGACTATGTGATCACGCTCTCCGTAGCCGATGTGAGTAAGACTTTTAAGCAGGTCAACATTCACAAGGGCCAGACGGATTACCAGGACGTGTACTCCGAGCATGTGCTGACCAACTGGCAAGTGTCTTCACTGACATTTTCAACATGTCTCTGACTGAGACATGTTTCAAGCAGACCACCATAGTCCCCGTGCCCAAGGACTCTAAGATAACCTGCCTAAATGACTACCGACCCGTAGCACTGACGTCTGTAGCCATGAAGTGCTTTGAAAGGCTGGTCATGGCTCACATCAACAGCATTATCCCAGAAATCCTAGACCCACTCCAATTTGCATACCGCCCCAACAGATCCACAGATGATGCAATCTCTATTGCACTCCACACTGCCCTTTCCCACCTGGACAAGAGGAACACCTATGTGAGAATGCTATTCATTGACTACAGCTCAGCATTCAACACCATAGTGCCCTCAAAGCTCATCACTAAGCTAAGGATCCTGGGACTAAACACCTCCCTCTGCAACTGGATCCTGGACTTCCTGACGGGCCGCCCCCAGGTGGTAAGGGTAGGTAACAACACATCTGCCACACTGATCCTCAACACGGGGGCCCCTCAGGGGTGCGTGCTCAGTCCCCTCCTGTACTCCCTGTTCACCCATGACTGCATGGCCAGGCATGACTCCAACACCATCATTAAGTTTGCCGACGACACAACAATGGTAGGCCTGATCACCGACAACGATGAGACAGCCTATAGGGAGGAGGTCAGAGACCTGGCCGTGTGGTGCCAGGACAACAACCTCTCCCTCAACGTGACCAAGACAAAGGAGATGATTGTGGACTACAGGAAAAAAAAGAGGACTGAGCACGCCCCCATTCTCATCGACGGGGCTGTAGTGGAACAGGTTGAGAGCTTCAAGTTCCTTGGTGTCCACATCACCAACGAACTATCATGGTCCAAACACACCAAGACAGTCGTGAAGAGGGCACGACAAAGCCTATTCCCCCTCAGGAGACTGAAAAGATTTGGCATGGGTCCTCAGATCTTCAAAAAATTCTACAGCTGCACCATTGAGAGCATCCTGACTGGTTGCATCACCGCCTGGTATGGCACCTGCTTGGCCTCCGACCGCAAGGCACTACAGAGGGTAGTGCGTACGGCCCAGTACATCACTGGGGCCAACGTCCTGCCTTCCAGGACCTCTATACCAGGCGGTGTCAGAGGAAGGCCCTCAAAATTGTCAAAGACTCCAGCCACCCTAGTCATAGACTGTTCTCTCTGCTACCGCACGGCAAGCGGTACCGGAGTGCCAAGTCTAGGTCCAAAAGACTTCTCAACAGCTTCTACCCCCAAGCAATAAGACTCCTGAACAGCTAATCATGGCTACCCAGACTATTTGCACTGCCCCCCCACCCCATCCTTTTACGCTGCTGCTACTCTGTTAATTATTTATGCATAGTCACTTTAACTCTACCCACATGTACATATTACTTCAACTACCTCAACTAGCCGGTGCCCCCGCACATTGACTCTGCACCGGTACCCCCCTGTATGTATAGCCTCCCTACTGTTATTTTATTTTACTTCTGCTCTTTTTTTCTCAACACTTTTTTTTTGTTTGTTTTATTTTTACATTTTTGTTAAAAATAAATGCACTGTTGGTTAAGGGCTGTAAGTAAGCATTTCACTGTAATGTCTGCACCTGTTGTATTCGGCGCAAGTGGCCAATAACATTTGATTTGATTTGATTTGAAGAGGAGGACTGTGTCTACGACTCAAAGAGAATGAAAGTCATTGAGGTCATGGAGATAACTGGAGAGTACTTGTAAGTATGAAAGACTGTTGAAATGCATTGCAAACCATATTTATTTTCGTTACCTATGATGGTATGGGGGTGGTACATGACAACTTCACAGTAGAGCAGTGATTCCATTTGGTGATGAATTCTACAAAAATCTGACAAACAACACACTCTTTTCAAGAAACATGTAAATCATTTGCCTACTATTTCAAATAACGTATCCTACCTATGAATGCAATATCTTACATTTCAGCAATCGTCTTACAGATGTAAAAACAGCCATCTTAAGAGTAAAGTCGTCCCTGAGTATAGACACATCGACGCCATGTATCATGGGACAACAAGACAACACGTCCAGGTCTCTAGCCAGGGTGTCCTCAGTCGCGGTCCTTGAGCCTCAGACCCTCTGGAAGAGGAGACAGAGAAAAGATGAGGGAGTTCATTTGCCTTGAGGGGGAGAAAGAACCAGTGGAGGCAGCAACAAGAAGTTAGAAGGGAGGGCAGGTGGGATTGGGCCAGGCATGTCTAGGAATCAGGCCAGGGTGTCCTCAGTTGTGGTCCAAGAGCCTCCGTAAAGGGAGAAAGAGAAGATATGAGGGTTAGTGAGAGCATGGCTAAAACCATAGTACACATCACATGCACTGGGGGTAGAGAATAATCAATGGTGTTGCTGTGGACACTGGATAATCTGACTAACACACACACACTTGTTTGACCTCACTGTGATACTGTAGGCCTACTTATTTTACTTTTCTGAGTCAATTCAGGTAGCATTCAATGTCCTGTGTTTGTGTTAACCATGGCAACCAGCATTGTAAATAAAGAGCTGTGCAGAAAGATAATCATCCTCTGTGTCTGTGGATCCTTTCCCCTAATTTATTTTTCATGTCAGCCAGGCCCATCTTTTCAAATAAATACCATTTAATTAAATCTCTAGTTGAGTAAAATAAGTAGTTTTGTTCTGGTCACAAGATAATCCAAAAGGTAGCAGTAAACATCGCCTCACTCAGGCAGAAAACAGGAATGTTCTATTCTCAGCAGTCCTTTAACAAATACTGTACATCTCTGTGTGAAAAGGTGTCCCATGGTCTGTTTTGTCAACAAACTCAATGGCGTACTGGCATAGAGCAGCAGAGTAGAGGCGTTTGCAGAAGTTAAACACATGGGGCACATTTTTTGTAGCCTAGGGTCTGGGAAAAATGTGGCCTTTTATAAACGCATTTCATGCAATTCTACATATTTTAGATGACTGGACAAGTGATCGAAATGACAGGCTACTTTGACACTGACAAACTGAAAATCTGAGATCAATAAAAACGACTTTGTGTTGAATCAATCGATAGCCTAGGCCTAGGTGTTTGGAGACACATTTTGCACAGTATATTATAATTTTAAAAATAATAATTTTCAGGATGAAAAAAACGTTCATTTTAAAATTAAACGACTAAAAATCACATAAAAAGTATGTACAAAAGATAATGGACCTATATTTTTTAAATAATATCATCTTTGAGAACTAACAATCACCAAAATAAAAGCTAGACAGTCAGGGAGAATCTAAAATTTCCAAAATTATGCATTCAGGAGTATATTTGTTATGGCATGGGGCCCATTGATTTTGTTTTAATGTTTGTGGTCCTCTGTAGCTCAGCTGGTAGAGCACGGCGCTTGTAACGCCAAGGTAGTGGGTTCGATCCCCGGGACCACCCATACGTAAAAATGTATGCACGCATGACTGTAAGTCACTTTGGATAAAGGCGTCTGCTAAATGGCATATTATTATTACTCAGATAGCATACACCATGGCAAAATGTGTAGGATTTCAGGAAATTTGTTTTAAAACTGCACATTTTCTCTCAGCCCCATGGCAAAATGTGCAGAATTGCAGGAAATGTGCTTTAAAACTGCAACATTTTATTTCCAGCACATGGCAAATTGTGTAGTATTGCAGGACATTATCTTTACAACAGCTACATTTTGTCACAATGGCCAACAAAACCTTTTAGGTCGGAAACCGCACCATTGGCAACGCTCATGACCACGCCCCCGACCTAAATTTTGATCCGGAAAAACCCTGGGTAGAAGCACAATTTCTCTCTCACTCTCTGCAGCAAGCGTAATGCCACATCCTTAGTTCGCATGGTCCTAAAGCACACCTTTGCAGGGTTTATTTTCGCCCAATTATTCGACCTATCAAAAGGTTCGGGGCTGGACCAAAAACATTCAGGGCTGCTGCCCGGGAAGGCTACCCCTAACAACGCAGATGGCTTGGTTATACTCCACTTGCTCAGGAAGTGTCTACTGATCCACATCGGAATGAAACCTGCTAGTCTCCACTGTCCGCTCCGGTGGAGAGAAGACAAAAAACGATTAAAGGTACAATCTGCAATATTCAATCGCCATTACCCAGTGCTTAATTTGAGCCGGATCCTGCCGGAACAGGATCCGGCACCTCTCCGTTTTGGACTGTTTTGTTCCGGAACCTATTTGGCCGGATCCGGTACCTCTCGTGGCATGAACAATTATTTTCACAGAATATATCAAAGTTCATTCGAGTTGCCTCTTCGTTAATTCTCCTGCCCCCACAAAAAAAACGTCATGTATTCTAAGAGTTGATTTGGTTTGGGCTGGCCCGGGTTTATGGTTTGCGCAACATTGTAACCTGCAACATTTGAGACCAACGCGTGGTCGTGGCTGCGTGAGAAGCGCGCCAGTATCTCTCACATAACTAAAATGAGATTATATTTCTAGTATCCCTCTCTGCTCTGATAGACATGTGCCTAAACTCTCATCTCTCCAGCGTTGCACTTCATAATTTGTTTCATAGCCGCGCGAAGGGTTCTGAAGGAACTGCAGCACCCCTGATAAATTGAAATACATTTGCCAAAGTTGTAGAATGACTGTTAAGAAATAAATTAAATAATTCAGAATAGCCTACTACACAATGAGAAGGCCTATAATTTAGCCAAGAGGATCAATAGCTTCTTCTTCTTTGTTAAATAGCCTAGCTGTGGATTGTATCCCAATAACACGGAACAGCCTACAGTCCGGAACGTGCAGCCAATGTTTCAGTGGAAAAAAACAGCATGCAGCCAAACAGGCCTTTCGCAATATTTAAAATAAAATCGAGGAAAAACACAGGTTGTAAAGCAAATTTCTCCTGCTGAAAAGAGAAGACTCTAATCTGTCTGCTGTAGGCTACCAAAATATTTGATCAAGTTCCAAATATTGTTTTACAAAAGAGAGAGAGAGAGAGATAGGATTTTGGCATGAGCGCGTCGGCCATCACTAGCAAGTGAGCTGCGCATCATTGAGTGAGTCAGTGAAACTGGAAAGCATTTTTAGGACTATAATTTCCTCCTCATATTGTAGCCTACAATATGTCTCCACACACCTAGGCCTAGGCTATTGATGGATTCAACACAAAGTAGTTTTTATTGATCTCAGATTCTCAGTTTGTCAGTGTCAAAGTTACCTGCCATTTCGATCATTTGTGCGGTATTAAAAAAGATTTTGCCAAAGTCTCCAGTCATGTAAAATGAAGTAGAATTGCACGAAATGCATTTATAAATGGTAATGGACCCTAGGCTACTAAAAATGTTCTCCATGTGTGCAACTTCTGTAAGTGCCTCTACTCTACTGCTCTATGCCACTAGCAAATGCGATGATATGCAATGCTTTATTATAAAGGTGATTCTTTTTTTTTTCATGCGTTCTGGTACCTCAGAACAACCCACTCCAGCGCTCACTTTTTGTTCCGGCACCTCCCGATTGACAAATTAAGCACTATTATTACCATAAACGGTCATAGTTTACAGTCCATATTGTGCTGCAAATACCAAATATTGATTAAAGGGGATATCCTGGATTGGTACATCCACGATTTTTTGGAAATAGGCCTAATGATATACACTGAGTGTACAAAACCTTAAGGACACCTTCCTAATATTGAGTTGCACCTCTCATCTCTCCAGTGTTGCACTTCATCATTTATTTCTTTGTATGTATGTTTTGTGAATCCACCAGATCAGAGGCAGTAGGGATGACCAGGGAAGTTCTCTTGATAAGTGGGTGAATTTGACCATTTTCCTGTCCTGCTAAGCATTCAAAATATTATGGTAAATAAGGCGACTTTGGGTTGTCAGGGAAAATGTATGGAGTAGTACATTATTTTCTTTAGGAATGTAGTGAAGTAAAAGTTGTAACAAATATTAATAATAAAGTAAAGTACAAATACTAAAAAAAACTACTTAAGTAGTACTTTAAAAGTATTTTTACGTAAGTACTTTACACCACTGCATTCTAAATAACAGGCTCTCTCACTATCTAGAACTATCTGGCCAGCTTGCTGATGAACATAATAGCTTTAGGAAAGCCAGAGCATGTATAGACCATATCTATACCACAGGAGGAAGGGTGGCACCGTAATTGGGGAGGACGGGCTCATAAAGGCTGGAGCGGAATTAGTGGAAAGGTATCAATTACATCAAACACATGGTTTCCATGGGTTTGATGCCATTCCATTAGCTCTGTCCCAGTCATTATTATGAGCTGTCCTCCCCCCAGCAGCCTCTACTGTTCTATACTGTCTAGAATTCAAGAGAAAAAACCAACTTCTGCCTGTTTTATTGATTTTCAGAAGGCGTTTGATTGGGTGAATAGAGACCTCCTTGCTTTTAGACAAATTAAAACAGGAATTGATGGATGATTCTTTGATGCTGTCAAAGCTCTTTATCTGGCTCCTGTTGCCTGTATTCAGGTCAGTAACATCAGGACTGGCTGGTTTCCAACCCCTTACGGTGTAAAGCAGGGAGACATGCTCTTTCCCACTTTATTTGCAATATATGCTAATGATTTAGCCATACAAATCAAACATGCTAAACTTTGTGTTGAAGTTGCGGCTATATTCCTGGGCATCTTGTTGTATGCTGATGTCATAGTTGTCCTTGCCTCCAGAATATGTTGAATATTGTTAATTTATGGTGTACTAAATGGACACTAGTGATAAATCCAGAGAAGACCCAGATTGTTAATTTCAGAAAGAAGGGCGTGCAGAGAAGTGTACACAACTTTTGTTTTGGTCCAATCACATTATTCTACACTGGGCTCTAGAAATACCTTGGTTTCATTCTGGATGAACACATGACCGTTGAAGAGGGCATTAGATCTCTGGCAGATTCTGCAGATCGAGCCTTGGGGTCAGTGTTAAACAAAATGAAGGTATGTAAGGATCTTGGTTACTGTGCTTATTCTCAGCTGTATACATGTTGTGTGTGTCCAGTGATGGACTATGGTGCTGGGGTTATGGGGATCCAGGGTGTGTACTAATTGTAACAATGTTTAAAACAGAGCCATCTGCTTTCTTGGAGTGCACAAACTGACTCCAAACCTGGCGGTCTGTGGAGATACTGGTTGGGAACCATGTGTCGTTCAGCAAAAAGGGGACATGGTACGTCTATGGAACAGACTGATAAATATGCCAGAACACAGAATCAAAAAAAAAGTGTCAGACTGGGACTTTACTCATAACTATCCTTGGGCTAGAAAATTATCTATTTTTTGTGAAACTGATTTGCAGTACATGTTCAGGAATAAATTACCATGTGGTGTTAACCAAATCAAGGACAAGCTTTTTCTGATTCACAAGGAAAAATGGGCAGTTAATGTTTGGTGTAAACCTAAACTTAGAACGTACACTTTTATCAAAGAGAACTACACCCCTAAACCATTACGCCCGGCTGAACCTAACGAAAAGCCAAAGGTCAATTTGTGCACAACTCGGCACCCTCGCTATGGCTATAGAGACGGGTAGATTTAACAGAGTGCCTGACGAGGAGACAATGTGTCTACTGTGTGATCTTGGGGAAAATGAAATTGCCCTCTGTATGTCGATCTGAGACATGTTGTTTTTTGTCAAAATGGTGACGATAACCCTGAAGTATTCTGGTTAGGGGACAAGCAGAGGCATGAATTCTGTTTCAGACAGGGCGTGTTTGAGATTGCTCAGTTTGTTCACAATGCCTGGAGGAGAAGGAGAAATGAACTGTTTGTGTAGTGTGGCTAGATGGTAGCTGTACTGGCCATGGTTATTGCATGCGTATAATTTGTAAAATGTTACTTTGTTCTGTAGTGTCTTGTAAGCCCATGTGGGCTGGGCACCGGTAGATGTATGATAGATAGATATCTTCTTTTTTTTTTTACTGTTTGGACATAGGCGGCCCGAAAAAACACTTAGGCCTCCCACCCAATACTTTTCTATGCAGGAAAAACCCTGCTGCTGCTATTTGTTTTCACGATAGTGGTGCGTGTGATAGCTTGTTGTCTTCAAACTGGTGCGGTGAGATATCTCGATCCGTTGGAATATGGTGACACCAGCGCTTATTTCAAAGAGCGCTCCGTAAGCCACGCCCCAGTGGGCAGACCTAGGCACGTTGCACTGGGACACGTTTTAATACAGATAAAAGCCTCTAATTTTACTATGGGTCCGCCGTGGTTCTGTGTAGCGTAGCTATGCTATTATATTTGAGACCAGTGTATTGCAGCGAATATAGTCTTTGACTTAATAGGTAAAATATATTTGAGTAGTAAACAGGGAAACAACAACGCGTCCCAGACAGTTCGCAATAGAACATACCAGAGAGGGGTGGCATCGTTTACTACCTAAATTATTGGGATCATCTGTGCTTTACCACCAGTGCTGCCTCCACTGGTTCTTTTCCCCCCTCAAGTCACTGATCCCACTCCGCACACACCCAGAAACCTGGATTCCATTACTTACCATGTGTCTTTATGAAAAGCCATTTGACCATCTGACCAAGGCTCTGGTCAAAAGTAGAGCATTATACATGGTAAAGTTAGAGAATATGCCACCCTTTGGGATGCATTCCGCCTGTTGAACCCCAAACTGCTTATTGTAAACCGTTTCTTCAGCCCATTCCTCCAGTTAAGCAAATGTAGAGGAGAGGCAGTGACTATAATTGATGTAGTGAATGACTTTTCCTGTCAATTACTTTATTTGATAAACTTCCTTTATTGTGTATGTGTGTCCCGTTTTTAAGTTTTAATAAAACCTTAATTCAGCCAAGAAATCCATATTTTCATAGATGGAATATTCAACAGACTGAACAGTCATGTACATTTACATTTACATCATTTAGCAGACGCTCTTATCCAGAGCGATTTACAAATTGGATGTACCAATGAGATGAATTAGTTACGTTACGGTTGTGTGTGGTGGTGTTGCCATTCAGCCTCATCTAGCCTTGGTATGGAAGAACTGATAACTGACAAGCTCAGACGATATCCATAATGACTATAGAGAAAGTACTAACACTTCAAGACCCTACGGTCCGATGGCTTTTCATAAAGACACATGGTAAATAATGGAATCCAGGTTTCTGGGTGTGTGCAGAGTGGGATCAGTGACTTGAGGGGGAGAAAGAACCAGTGGAGACAACAACAAGCAGGTAGAAGGGGACCAGGTGGGATTGGGCCAGGCATGTCTAGGAATCAGGCCAGGGTGTCCTCAGTTGTGGTCCAAGAGCCTCCGTAAAGGGAGAAAGAGAAGATATGAGGGTTAGTGAGAGCATGGCTAAAACCATAGTACACATCACATGCACTGGGGGTAGAGAATAATCAATGGTGTTGCTGTGGACACTGGATAATCTGACTAACACACACACACTTGTTTGACCTCGCTGTGATACTGTAGGACTACTTATGTTACTTTTCTGAGTCAATTCAGGTAGCATTCAATATCCTGCGTTTGTGTTAACCATGGCAACCAGCATTGTAAATAAAGAGATGTGCAGAAAGATAATCATCCTCTGTGTCTGTGGATCCTTTCCACTAATTTATTTTTTATGTCAGCCAGGCCCATCTTTTAAAAGAAACACCATTTATTTCAATCTCTAGTTGAGTAAAATAAGTGGTTTTGTTCAGGTAACAAGATAATCCGGAAAATTGCGGTAAACATCGCCACACTCAGGCAGAAAACGGAATGTTCTATTTGAGCAAAATCATAATAAAATCATAATAATTCAGTTAAAGAACGCCACAGTCAGGCAGAAAAATCTATTCTATCATAAAGTGAGAACAATTAGTTTTCCTGGCTGCTACTTAGAAATACTGTAACAGTAAATGAATAGACTGTCGCTGCTATAAACCTGTCTCCAATACAACCGCATAATTTACACAGACCCACCGCGGACCTTTGCAAAAGTAATCTCTGTGTGAAAAGGCGTCCCATGGTCTGTTTTGTCAAGGAGCTCAATTTATTCCAAACACTGGTGGTAACCAGATGATCCCGATAATTTAGGTAGTAAACGATGCCCCCCTCTGGTATTTACATTGCGAACTGTCTAGGACTCGTTGTTTCCCTGTTTACTACTCAAATATACGTTTACTTATTAAGTCAAAGACGAAATGAACTTAAATATACTGGTCTCAAAAATATTAGCATAACTAGGCTACACAGAACCGCGGAGGACCCATTGTAAAATGAGGCTTTTTCTGTATTAAAACATGTCCCAGTGCAACATGCATTTGTTTACATTCCTGTTAGTGAGCATTTCTCCTTTGCCAAAATAATCCATCCACCTGACAGGTGTGATTAAACAGCATGATCATTACACAAGTGTAAAAGGCCACTCTAAAATGTGCAGTTTTGTCACACAACACAATGCCACAGATGTCTGAAGTTTTGAGGGAGTGTGAAATTTGTATGCTGACTGCAGGAATGTACACCAGAGCTGTTGCCAGCGAATTCAATGTTCATTTCTCTGCCATAAACCGCCTCCAACATCATTTTAGAGAATTTGGCAGTAGGTCCAACCGGCCTCACAACCGCAGACCACGTGTATGGCGTTATATGGGCGAGCGGGTTGCTGATGTCAACGTTGTGGACAGAGTGCCCCAATGTGGCGGTGGGGTTATGGTATGGGCAGCCATAAACTACAGAAAACGAACACAATTTGCATTTTATCGATGGCAATTTGAATGCACAGAGATACCGTGACGAGATCCTGAGGCCCATTGTCGTGCCATTCACCCGCAGTCATCATCTCATGTTTCAGCATAATAATGCACAGCCCATTTGCGCAAGGATCTGTACACAATTCCTGGAAGCTGAAAATGTCCCAGTTCTTCCATGGCCTACATACCACCAGACATGTATTTCCAGTCATGTGAAATCCATAGATTTAGGGCCTAATGAATTTATTTCAATTGACTGATTTCCTTATATGAACTGTAACTCAGTAAAATCTTTGAAATTGTTGCATGTTGCGTTTTTTAAAATATTTTTTTTGTATAAAAGTTAAATGATGAGGACCGGCTACAACACCAAGAGCCAACAGGTAGGCTGCTACTTAATCATCTAAATGGAAGGGGAGAAAGCGAACAGATAAAGTTATGTAGACTCAATTAGCCTAGCTAACGTTACCTAGCTGAGTTTAACTAGCTTCTCCTTGTTTGATGAAGTCAAGAGTGTCTCCATCTCTTCATTCAAAGACTCAATCACGGACAGTCATACTGACAGTTGTGGCTGCTTCGCGTGATGTATTGTTGTCTCTACCTTCTTGCCTTTGTGCTGTTGTCTGCCCAATAATGTTTGTACAATGTTTTGTGCTGCTACCATGTTGTGTTGCTACCATGCTGTGTTGTCATGTGTTGCTGCCATGCTATGTTGTTGTCTTATGTCTCTCTTTATGTAGTGTTGTGGTGTCTCTCTTGTCGGGATGTGTGTTTTGTCATATATTTTTATTTTTAATCCCAGCTCCCATCCCCGCAGGAGGCCTTTTGTCTTTTGGTAGGCCATCATTGTAAATAAGAATTTGTTCTTAACTGACTTGCCTAGTTAAATAAAGGTTAAATATCAATAAAAAGACCGGTACTATGTAATCAGATGAGATGATAAATTACTAGCAATAAATTAGTCTACCAGCTTGAGTTGATTTGGTTGCTATCTCGTTCTCCCCTCATAACTCACAGACAGACACCTTCACGACCCCGTTAATAAAGTAGCTAAAAATATAGCTTTTTCCCCCTCCGTTTCCTGTAATCCAGGATCAGCTGCTTTGTCTTGCTGATGTTGAGGGAGAGGTTGCTGTCCTGGTACTACACTTCACGGTAGTGTCGTCAGCTAATTTGATGATGTTGTTTGAGTTGTGCGTGGCCTCACCGTTGTGGGTGAACAGGGTGTACAGGAGGGGATTAAGCAGACACCCCTGAGGGGCCCCGTGTTGAGGGTCAGCGTGGCAGATGGGTTGTAATTTAAAACATACAATCTACCTGCAGTGAAGCCGCTCAACATTTACATTACATTCAGTCCTCCAGCAGATCCCCCACCAAGTCGAACTGGGGACCCAAACCAGCGACCTCTTGCCCCCCTCCCAGTTAGAGGGGACTATGGTGTTGAATGTTGAGCTGTAGTGAATGAACAGCACTCACATAGGTATTCCTCTTGTCCAGGTGGGAGAGAGCAGTATGGAGTGCAATAGAGATTGTGTCATCTGTGGATCTGTTGGGGCGGTATGCGAATTGGAGTGGGTCCAGGGTGTCTGAGATGATGGTGTTGATGTGCACCATTACCAGCCTTTCAAAGCAGTTCATGTTTACAGATGTGAGTGCTACGGGACGATAGTTGTTTAGGCAGGCTCCTTTTGAGTTCTCAGGAACAGGGACAATGGTGGTCCGCTTGAAACATGCCAGCTGGTCTGAGCATGCTCTGTAAATGCGCCCTGGTATTCAGTCTATCCCAGATGCCTTGTGAGTGTTAACCAATTATGTATATAGACCTGCTAATGTTATGTATTGGCCATTGAGAGGCTTTGAAGCCACCAGTCGGCCATATTGGCACTCCCCAGTAGGAGCAGTCCTCCATAGGAATGAATGGCATTCTACAGTGTTTCAATTAAATGTTTCAAGGACAAAATTACATGTATTTAATACGTTTGTTGTTGTAGTGGAGACAGTAACATTAGCAATCTCTAAAAATTATACTTTTTAGAGAAAATGTTTTTATATATTTTGTCATGTTTTATTTTTATGTTTAACTCCGATAATATAATTTAAAAGTATGCATTAAGGTGTCTGTAATAGAAAAAACGTGGGAAAAACGAATGTAGACATTAATAGTTAATAGCGGCAGGTAGCTTAGTGGGTAAGAGCGTTGTGCCAGTAACCGAAAGGTCGCTGGTTCTAATCCCCGAGCCGACTAGGTGAAAAATCTGTCGATGTGCCCTTAAGCAAGGCACTTAACCCTAATTGCTGATGTAAGTCGCTCTGGATAAGAGCGTCTGCTAAATGACTAAAATGTAAATGTAGTTAACCCACTGTTCCTCTGGCGCCGAAGACGTGGATCTCGATTAAGGCAGCCCCCCACACCTCTCTGATTCAGAGGGGTTGGGTTAAATGTGGAAGACACATTTCAGTTGAATGCATTCAGTTGTACAACTGACTAGGTATCCCCCTTTCCCTTAATTAATGCATTTCTATAGCCTCCAAAATATTTTTTACAACCGTGGGGGAGTGCCAAGATGGAGGCACGGAGGTTTCAACACAGCGCCCCCTATCAGTCATCTAGTGTTTATATAAATAATTTACGTTAACCTAATAATTGCCCCAATGGGACAAATAAAGTTTGTTTTATGAATTGAATGTAATGAATCTACAATCCATATCAAATAAGCCTCTAAAAGTTTCCCCACATTGTTTGAGTGAGAGGATTGTTCTGATACGAGACTAACGGTGCACTTTAGTACACATACAGTACAAGTCATCGTATGACATAGTAGGAAGTGAAGGCAGCAGTTTGCAAGATACAGTAACGTTAGCTAGCTAATCTCAGATATATATTTTTTTATCAGAGGAGAGGCTATGGCAGCAAGCATGCAAATTAAGGTAATAACGTTCTCTTGTTAAAATGTTTGACTTCTCGTGACAAACTGACCAATGCATTATGCACTAGCTAGAACGTTACAATTCTACAGGGATACACGTGTCACATTATGCTAGCTGGCTAGCAATTAGCTACCGAGGAGAAAGCTAGTTCGCTAGCTAACTAAATCTACATGGACAGTCAAACTCAAATATCTCAAGTATAAACTTTACAGCTTGCAGAACTAGTCAGTGCACTAGCAGCTAGCTAACATCCTGCTAGTAGGCATCCGCTTGCAGTCGAAATGTAACGTTACCACGTATTTCACCATAGCTAGCTACTGTAGAATGCTCATTGACATTACTCCACTCCAATGCACCTAGCTATTAGTTTATGTGACAGGCCATAGTGAAGTGTGTGAGTAATGACATGTATATTCTTGTTAGATTGGAATCATTGGAGGCTCTGGCCTTGATGACCCAGACATATTGGAGGGAAGGACCGAGAAATATGTTGACACACCTTATGGAAAGGTAAGATCAAATTCTAAGTAAAAACCAATCATGTGCACCTTTTTAAAGTTGCACTATACCGAAATCTCTCCGCCATTTCCTGGTTGCTAAAATTGAAATAGTTCGTCTAATTTCAGTTTATGTTACAGTTTGTGACAAAACAAGCAAGTATAGTGTAGAGAATCATTTTACCATCTAAACCGCTGTGAAATATATTTTCCATAACCAAAAATATTGTATTTTCAGCTGTTTGAAGCTGGCATACAAAACCGAAAGTAAAAGACTCACAAACTAAAATTAAGCACGGTAAGCATAGAAATAGCACACATAGAACAGATTTACCGCTTCTTAGTCTTGCTTTCAATGAGAATGACAGATCTTTTATATGTGCATTTGGTTGGGTAGCCCAAAAGTTACATATTGCAGCTTTAAAATGACAAGTGCCACCAATCTTAGTCCCGAATGTGGCAATGCTTTCCATTGTGTACAGCATAGTAATTACTAGCCTAATATTGGACTAAAGGAGCCTAACATTACACTGTAGGGCGTAGGCCAAGGACCTTATGTCAGGGTTCCTCAACTGGCAGGCCGAATCTAGCCCTTGGGTGATTTTATTTGGACCCCCAAGTTTTCTGAGCAAAAAAAATAAAAATGTGTATTTTTTGGGGTCATAAAAGACTGTAAAAACACCAGCAAATCAGCACCAAGTGATTTGTAATCTTGGAAATCTGTTCCAAAGCATTACCATGCATAATAGAGAGATATATGTGATTGTATACAAATGTAAGCAAGTTTTGAAATGATTATGTTTTAGTCAAATGTTATATGTTTGGGCTTCTTGCGCTCAATTTGCAGTCTACAAATTATTTGTAATTAAAGGGAAAGGAGATGCTTAGTCAGTTGCACAACTGAATGCATTCAACCGAAATGTCTTCCTCATTTAACCCAACCCCTTTGAATCAGACGTCCACTTCATCGGCACCCAGGGAATTTTTTGTTGTTGAGGGTTAACTGCCTTGCTCAAGGGCGGAACGGCAGATTTTTCCACCTTGCTGGCTCGGGGATTTGAACCAGCGACCTTTTGGTTACTGGTCCAACACTCTTAACCGCTAGTCTACCTGCCGCGGTTATGTTCTGGCCCCCTGACCAACAGCTAAAGAAAAAATCGGCCAGCAGCTTAATCTAGTTGATGGTCCCTGACTTACATGTTCTGTTTAAAGGGCAAATTAGCCCTGGAAGCAAAAACAGCCAAATACTCCATCTAAATGTGAATTTCCTACTCACACTGCTTGCTTAACCCAGAAGCCAGCCGCACCAATGTATCGGAGGAAACACTGTTCGACTGACGACCGAAGTCAGCTTGCAGGTGTCCGGCCCAAGGAGTCGCTAGAGCGCGATGAGCTAAGGAAAGCCCCCCGGCCAAACCCTCCCCTAACCCGGACGGCGCTGGGCCAACTGTGCGCCGCCCTATGGGGCTCCCGGTCACAGCCGGCTGTGACACAGCCTGGGATCGAACCCCAGGTTGTAGTGGCGGTTAAAACAGTGTACAGTAAGTGTATATTTAGCATTTGTGAAATAATTTTGATGTGATATGGGAGTAGAGGGCTTTATGTTTTAGAACCGTACCCCAATTGAGCCTTCTGAGTCCTATATTGCTGCGGCACTCGGGAGGCTCAATTGCAGTATGGTTCTAGAAACATAAATCCCTCTACTTTCATGTCACATCAAAATATACACTTACTGTTTTAACACAGTTGCAGCAGACAATATTTTTCAGTGACAAACACGTTTGTGGCGTCTGTCTTCCGTTTACACACAGGTGTTCGGAGACACCGATAGCTAATTAGCACAGGTAGTCCACTCTGTCTTCCGTCTGTTTTCAGTAAACAAGCGCTGTAACGTGGAAATATGGCAGTGTGGGAACCCTAACCCTATAAGAGTGTGTATCAATTTAACCTTTTGTTTTATGCTTCCAAAACCGTACCGCAAGCTAATGTTCAGACCGAGCGTCGTGGCTCTTAACAAAACTCCCCCCTACAGAAGACGCCGTCGTCCAATGACTCTTATGCGTAATGTAATGGAACTGAGAGTCATGATCAAGGGCTAAGCCACTACCCCATTCATAGTTGCTAACTGCTTTAGCGCCTATTGACAATAGTATCGTCTGACTGGGGTAGTTTTGTTAAGAGCTCCGACGCTTGCTCTAAACATTAACACGCATCGCTTGCGGTACGTTTTTGGAAATGTGCCTTTCATATCAGCATCGCTTGCAGTACGTATCTTTCATATTAGCGAGAAATAATTTTCTAAAAACACAATCTTAAATTACTACACACATCTTTATAGGGGTAGGGTTAGTGTTCCCACAAGGCCATATCTCCATGTTACAGCAATTCTTTATGGAAGACATAGTGCTGTGCTAATTGGCTATCTAACGTGCTCTGAACACCTGTGTGTAAGCGTAACTGGGGAGGAAGTGTAGTTTGTCAACTGGAGGCACACACAGTTTGTGGATCTGTGCAAAACTGCTACAGAAAGTGAATATTTTTTATTTGAAAGATTCTTTCTCGCTGATATGAAAGATAAGGGGCACATCGGCATAGGTTTCGAAAACCGGTTTGAAAGTGATGATTATTTACTTTTCTAAACGTTAAAACACAGCAATTGTAGTTGACATGGAGCCAAATGTGGGCGAATGTAACCGCTGAAAACCCTGCATAAGGTGAAGGGTTTTCCAGGGCTACATACAGTGGGGGAAAAAAAGTATTTAGTCAGCCACCAATTGTGCAAGTTCTCCCACTTAAAAAGATGAGAGGCCTGTAATTTTCATCATAGGTACACGTCAACTATGACAGACAAATTGAGAATTTTTTTCTCCAGAAAATCACATTGTAGGATTTTTAATGAATTTATTTGCAAATTATGGTGGAAAATAAGTATTTGGTCACCTACAAACAAGCAAGATTTCTGGCTCTCACAGACCTGTAACTTCTTCTTTAAGAGGCTCCTCTGTCCTCCACTCGTTACCTGTATTAATGGCACCTGTTTGAACTTGTTATCAGTATAAAAGACACCTGTCCACAACCTCAAACAGTCACACTCCAAACTCCACTATGGCCAAGACCAAAGAGCTGTCAAAGGACACCAGAAACAAAATTGTAGACCTGCACCAGGCTGGGAAGACTGAATCTGCAATAGGTAAGCAGCTTGGTTTGAAGAAATCAACTGTGGGAGCAATTATTAGGAAATGGAAGACATACAAGACCACTGATAATCTCCCTCGATCTGGGGCTCCACGCAAGATCTCACCCCGTGGGGTCAAAATGATCACAAGAACGGTGAGCAAAAATCCCAGAACCACACGGGGGGACCTCAAAGTAACAAAGCCTACCATCAGTAACACACTACGCCGCCAGGGACTCAAATCCTGCAGTGCCAGACGTGTCCCCCTGTTTAGGCCAGTACATGTCCAGGCCCGTCTGAAGTTTGCTAGAGTGCATTTGGATGATCCAGAAGAGGATTGGGAGAATGTCATATGGTCAGATGAAACCAAAATATAACTTTTTGGTAAAAACTCAACTCGTCGTGTTTGGAGGACAAAGAATGCTGAGTTGCATCCAAAGAACACCATACCTACTGTGAAGCATGGGGGTGGAAACATCATGCTTTGGGGCTGTTTTTCTGCAAAGGGACCAGGACGACTGATCCGTGTAAAGGAAAGAATGAATGGGGCCATGTATCGTGAGATTTTGAGTGAAAGCCTCCTTCCATCAGCAAGGGCATTGAAGATGAAACGTGGCTGGGTCTTTCAGCATGACAATGATCCCAAACACACCGCCCGGGCAACGAAGGAGTGGCTTCGTAAGAAGCATTTCAAGGTCATGGAGTGGCCTAGCCAGTCTCCAGATCTCAACCCCATAGAAAATCTTTGGAGGGAGTTGAAAGTCCGTGTTGCCCAGCGACAGCCCCAAAACATCACTGCTCTAGTACATTTTGTGATTTTCTGGATTTTTTTTCTTCTACAATGTGATTTTCTGGATTTTATTTGCTCAATTTGTCTGTCATAGTTGACGTGTACCTATGATGAAAATTACAGGCCTCTCTCATCTTTTTAAGTGGGAGAACTTGCACAATTGGTGGCTGACTAAATACTTTTTTCCCCACTGTACCTACGCACATTTACATAGAACAAAAACAAAATGTCTCTTGTCTCACGAATGTTGAATAAAATTATATTTGAACTTACTCTGCCGATTTGTTCGTGGGGTTGGGCCTTCAGCTGGTTGACATTTTAGACAAAATATCCACTGGAAAGTATTCTTAAACAGGCTTCAAAACGGGGGATTCTGTGTGCGGCAATCAATCTGTTTGCTCATGACCTAAGGCAAGTGCACAAGACGAAAGTACATGCATGCGATGCAAAAGAAACCAAAGTCTTGCAGGTGTTTACGTGGTTTTGCGCATGTGCCAGGTGATAGAAATTTCCTACGGCAATACCCGGTTATAACATTTTGACCAGCTGAAGGACCAACCGCACAGATAACCGGTAGGATTATGGAAAATATATTTCACAGCGGTTTAGATGGTACAATGATTCTTGTACTTGCTTGTTTTGTGACAAACTAAAATTACGCGATTTTTTTTGTATTTTAGCAACCAGGAAATGGGGGGGTTGATTTCCGCATAGTGCATCTTTAAACGTATACTTAACTTTTATACTTTATAATTTGACTCCTTCAAATAATTTACTCTGTCAAGTTTGCCACTGGCGCGCTGCCGTAGGGAAGTAAAGCGGAAGTCGACTCCATCACTACCGTTGTTTGGCTGTGTCCGTAGCAACATTTAGAAAATGAGGTGGATACCAAGAATTGGTATCACAGTCTGGTTTATTAGGCAACCCCAATCTCTGTGTTCCACTGTGCCAGTGTAATGCCAATCTTTTACCAGCGGAAGACTGTGCCTTAGATTCTACCTAATTACATATTTTCTCTGTTTTCCCCCTACAACCCAAACAGCCTTCAGATGCCCTTGTAATAGGGAAGATCAAAAATGTTGAATGTGTGCTCCTTGCAAGGTAAGCAGTGGCATGAATTGGAGAATCTCCATTGCGTTCTTTTCGTGTCCTCTCTCCTCTGGCTTTCTCATCCAATGGGTTTAGAGAAGGATGCGAGGAGTATGCAATTGAGATTCTCCTGTGGAGAGATCCTAAGTGTACTGAGCCAGATGAACTCCACTTCTGTTTCTTATGCATTTGCGCCATCTAGTGGCTGTGCGTTGCAATTGTAAAACAAATTTGACCTGATCTCTCTTCTCCAATAGGCTAAACATTCCCCCAATACCAAATCCACCACTAGCCCTCTAGCAAACTGATGTAGATGTAAAATAATCAGATAGATATAAGTAGAATGGTAAAAAAAACAGCTTGCCCTTTTTACAAGTGGAGCTTGTAAACATATTGCTTAGCCAACACAAACAAATCCTTTCAGAGCTACAAACGTTTCCTAGGGGATTACGTGCTATAGGAGTCAATTTAGCGATTCCTTTTCAGCCTTTTCTCTTTCCTGCGGCAAGCACTGAAAACTATTCACACTCCCCATTTTACTGGTCCCTAGGCATGGGAGACAGCACACCATCATGCCAACCAACGTCAACTACCAGGCTAACATCTGGGCGTTGCGAGAGGAGGGCTGCACACATCTCCTGGCCACCACAGCCTGTGGTTCCCTCCGGGAAGAGATCCAACCAGGAGACATCGTCATCATCGACCAGTTCATAGACCGGTGAGTGCCAGAGTTTCCTAGGCCTGGAACCCAGGGCTAACCTAAGGTTGAATCCACCATTGTAATGAGAATGAAAGCAGTCTGTTGGACATGGTGGTTGCCAGAGGTTAGTGCAATTGTTGTTGTCTATTGATTGAGTCCAAATCCAATTATTCCCTGGTATATGTACAGTTATGTACACTAAACAAAAATATAAACGCAACATATAAAGTGTCCCTGAAATGTTCCATACGCAACAAAAAGCTTATGTCGCTCAAATTTTGTGCACAAATTTGTTTACATCCTTTTTAGTCAGCATATCTCCTTTGCTAAGATAATCCATCCACCTGACAGGTGTGGCATATCAAGAAGCTGATTAAACAGCATGATCATTACACAGGTGCACCTTGTGCTGGGAACAATAAAAGGCCACTTTAAAGTTTTGTCACACAACACAATGCCACAGATGTCTCAAGTTTTGAGGGAGCCAGAGAATGTAATGTTCATTTCTCTACCATAAGAATTTGGCAATACATCCAATCGGCCTCACAACCGCAGACCACATGTAACCACGCCAGCCCAGGACCTCCACATCTGGCTTCTTCACCATTCTGTTGTTAATAAAGCCATTTTGTGGGGGAAAACTAATTCTGATTGGCTGGGCCTGGCTGCCAAGTGGGTGGGCCTATGCCCTCCAAGGCCCACCTATGGCTGTACCATTTATTTTTGTTCATTATAGCTATGGAGTAAAAGTCATCTGTAAATGCTAGCAATTGATACGTCTAGATATTGTTTAGGTTTCTACCTACTACATACCTGGTGGAGTATAAATGGAACGGTACATGTGTCATGGCAAAACAGAATGTTTGGAAAGCGATGGTGGTAGAATTACAGTAGGAATGAGAAGTCATCAAGAGGAATTCTTCAAAGAACTGAGATTTTTTCCCAAGTCACTATCTCTCAAATGGGCCGGTCTGGCTCGGACAAGGATTCCTTAATCTCTCAAACATCTTTCTTATGTCTAGCGAGTTCAGACAGTGCGACGTCTATCTCAACTGATAACATTCAAAAGAACTTGCAAGTTGTCCATTTTTTCCCCTTACAAACAGTGGCTAATGCTGAGTGTGTGTACAGTATTCCAGCCTGGAGAAAGGCAACAACAAAGGCAATGGTGTAAAACAGGAACAGACGGTGGCATCCTGGCTCACATGACTTATCTCTGAAGACCACATTCTCTGACTGGTATTTCTTATAGTCAGCGACTCCGACCATTATCCCATGGCCAACCGCTGTGTATCTCTCATTTCCTCATTCCCTAAGAGAAGGAATGAGATTGTGTCTGATGATTGGTTGATAGGCGATGCTCTGAAACTGACTGCACTGTGGGCCCGGGACTTGTCTGTGTGGCAGAGTACAGGTGCCACGTGTGTCCCATCGTGGCTAGATCTGCATCATGAGAGGAAACCAACACTTTTTTTTTAAAGAACAGACAGGACTCGTAGGGTTTTAAGGGCCGCTGGTTTGAAACAGGGGTTTCCGGTTTTTTTCTTCAATATGTGGTCTTCTAATTTCTTGTGAATGAGGAGGACTGTAACAGGTTTTGAATGAACTGAGACCTAGGATCTGATGAGGTTGTTTTGTAGGAAGTGGTTGTGTTACCTGATGCGTTGTGGAATGTGCTTAGGGCGTGAATTGTGACATACTGGAAGTTCAGTGGGTCTATCCTCCATGTCGTAGCTGTGTATAAAGTTCGATTGTGTTTCAGTGAAAGGGATGAACTCGAGAAATAGGCCTAGGTGTAAGGTATTTGCATCACAAATGACTGTTCAGTTTTGAATGTTATCACCTTTGTTTCGGTCTGTCTATGGGAATGCATTTCAGTAACATCAGTAAAATAGTACTTCAGCATGAGTCATGTTTCCCACGGTTAGGCCTAGACCTCTGTACGACCTTCAGTTGAGCAGCATTGTTTGGTAATATTATGACTGTGTGACCTGAAGTAAACTAAGGGATGAGAACCAGATGAGCCCAAGATACCTCTGACAGAGGAAGTAGTGGAACATGTAATACCTAATCAAGGTTCATTCCTCCGGACGAATTCCCTGAGCTGGTGGAATGGCATCTTGTTACTGTACGGAAGCAGGCCTACACCACACCTAGGAATCAACACACCTTTCACAAGTGTGTCCTCTCTGGCTGTTCTCATATTCATTAATATAGGCTAGTGTGTCAAAATGAAACAGAAATTAGATGCAGCAAGTTCTTCAGAACTTCAGTTCTCAGTAAGTTTGTCAGATATCCCTGTGGGATGATTCCCAGTTGAAGAATTCCCTCCGTGCTTGTTCCCTCCTGGTTTAGGGGATGATCCAACCAGGATTTCAGAAGAACTCTATCTAGAAATGTTGCAGCCCAAAACAGATGTGATGGCCATCAGTTGTAGCACTGATAAAACATGCTGAATTTGAATTTTTCTCTACTAGTAATAGGCTATTCTTTCTAAAGTGCCCAGGCATCCAATGTTTTGATTGGATGGTAGTTTTAGGATGATTATCCAATGTGTTTGCCTGTGTGTTGCCTCAACCTTGAAGAAACACCTATTCTTCCTCAATGCCCCCCCCCCCCATCTCTAGATTCCAAGTCACCACACACAACTCTACCCATTATTCTATCAGAGTGGAACACAACTCCTCTCATTGTCCTGAGGCTGTGTTGCTGCATTGAATTGAATTGTCAGTAGAATTCTATGCAATGGACCGTAAATTGAGAATGTGTTCATGAGGCAGTCTTGTTGATTTAGAGTGCAATGCACACAAAAACCTTTGTCTCCAAGCTCTGTCCGTTGTCAAGAAGTCAAAACGTAGTGCATTGAATGAGAAATAGCAGATCATTTCTGCAATCCTCCCTCGGGTTTGCCGTCTGACTTTGACTCCACATCCTCCCCTCTGTGCAGTTCTCAGAGAAGCTATGCCTCATCACCGCCAATCCACCCAAATGTGTTGTAAACTCTGATTCTATTGATAGCCTACTGTTACAACAAGCAGAGGCAGGCTCTGTTGGACAGAATAGGGAAGCTAACATGTTAGGACTTGTTCAGTCTTGTCCCACTGCGCAGCATGTGACCCATCCAGCATATTTCTGAAGGGTTTACTTTTATGATTATCTTACAACGTCAGTGAGTCATTTGTTTTGCCCCCTGCTCCTGTTCCAAACACTGCTGGCCTGTTGTCTAGGTTAGCTAGGATTTCTCTCTGCTCGCCTGCTGCGAGCATTAACTCTGGTCTCTGGTCTCCCCAGTTCTGACTCACTCACTGGAGCTTTGCATCACTTTACAGTATGTGGTACTGGACAGGATGTGTGTGTCTAGTGCTAAGATGAGGTATATTTTCCAAACTACTATGAGTGAGCAATACAATACATAGCCTAATTATAGTCTCTGCTTTCGCTGACAGTAGCCAATGTTCCTCCTCGGGAGTCTTGTTGACATTGACAACAGTAGGTTATTTCTCAGTCGTGGCATTTCTGGAATATTCTACTCGCACACTTAGTTTTAGTTTGGTGGGGGACGGCAGGGAGGGAGGGGTGGGTCACTATACATTTCCTTTATAGAATGGGGCGGCAGGTAGCTGAGTGGTTAAGAGCGTTGTGCCAGTAACCGAGAGGTCGCTGGTTCTAATCCCCGAGCCGACTAGGTGAAAAATCTGTCTGTGCCCTTGAGCAAGGCACTTAACCCTAATTGCTCCTGTAAGTCGCTCTGGATAAGAGTGTCTGCTAAATGACTAAAATGTAAAAATGTAAATGTCTTGGAATGCCATGTTGCCTCAGCATTTCTAGAATCCAAGGTCACTCTGTATGGAATCCAAGGTCACTCTGTATGGAATCCAAGGTCACTCTGTATGGAATCCAAGGTCACTCTGTATGAAATCCAAGGTCACTCTGTAGTCGGCGCATGCACTCACTGACCTCTGACTTGACTATGTATCGGTCCTGCTCTCAATGATCTGTATAACAGCTGGTTTACTCTGTTGATGATGTGGGCACAGAGAGACCTGTTAGCAGAGCTTCACTGAGCTCTCACTGTGACACCCAAAGCAGAAATGGGTTGTTGTCTGTGTTGTGACTTCAAGCCTTAGTAAGAAATGTCCCAGGCCATCTCCATTTACTGGTGTGACCAAATGACACATTGGCTCCTGTCAGTGTCAGTACAGTCTAAATATGTGTTCCTCCTTTCAGTGGCCATACATTCTAAATATTAGTTTTTCCAGTCAGTACAGTCTAAATATTTGTTCCTCTTGTCAGTGTCCATACAGTCTAAATATTAGTTTTTCCAGTCAGTACAGTCTAAATATTTGTTCCTCTTGTCAGTGTCCATACAGTCTAAATATTAGTTTTTCCAGTCAGTACAGTCTAAATATTTGTTCCTCCTTTCATTGTCCATACAGTCTAAATATTTGTTCCTCCTTTCATTGTCCATACAGTCTAAATATTTGTTCCTCCTTTCAGTGTCCGTACAGTCAAAATATTACCTAGTAACATGAGGACAAGAAGTTGTCTTTCTAAGCCTGCCTTTTCTCAGTGTAACATTTAGGCGGTAGGTAGCTTCAGGACCCAGGGTAGTGTCTCACAGCAGCTGTGCTGGGCATGCTCATTTGAGCAGAGACTGGGTAGAGCGAGCGAGAGAGAGAGAGAGAGTGTGTGTGTATGAGGGAGGGGCATGTAGAACTGGCATGTGGCCTGGGTGGAACCCTGACTGTGCAACAGCTCTGGAATCTGGAGGGCAGCGGCCTGTCGGCAAATGCTAAATGCCGGCTCAGCCCATCCTCACCACCCCTTAACCCTTTACTCTCGTGGGAATTGGGCTATATGGATAGGGCTACATTGAAATGTTTCTTACAGAAGAAATATGAAATGCATAAGCATGGTAGCAATCAAAGGGAACAGTTTGAAGATTATGGGAACATTTATTAGACCAAAGGTGAGGACACAACAGTTCTCCTGACACAAGACTGAATCCAAACATTACACTGTTTATGTGCATTTTACATTTACAGTACTTTTCACCACATTTGTTGATAATGAAATCTGATAATATTCTGGATACATTCAGTAACACGGTAAGAATATTCCTGGAAAATGTGGGGTAGGTGCAACATAAGACAAAAAAAAAAAAATGACAAGGATTTGAGTGAGAGGACTAACTGGTGTCTCCAAGTGGTGCCACACCTCTCCAAAGTGTGCACAATTCCTATGTAATTTCAATGGACTTTATGACACAAAGAAGAGCCTTCAACTATACAGTGCTTTTTTGATCTCTCCTAGCTGTGCTGTTGAGGAACTACTAGAGCAAGAAGACTTGTAGTTGTTTTGAATTGAACACAACCCTGCATCCCCACCATCACACAGTTACTGTTGTTGTTTACGCAATCATAAAACGACCCATTATAAATCGCAATCTGGGTCAGGTGGGCATCATTTAAAAGCTTGTTCTATTGCCAACATGACTAGCTAAGTTATAAAATATGATCTTACAGTGTTAGGCTTTCACAAGGCAATTCAGAGAAACAAATGGTAATTTTGATGTGCATAGAAAGTAGTCATGAGTACATTCAGATGCGTGGTCCGAGGTGACTTTTCTTCACAATAAACAAACCGGCTCATTCTGTTCATAACAACCCAGGGTATGATGACATCTTGTAACTGTACATCAAACCTAGTGACCATAAACATTGACCCTGTATATGACATGAGTTTTATGAAATGGAAATGTGAAGTGCATATTTGGACGTGTGTTTGGCTTGCTTGCATGACATCAAAGCGGTATTTATTATAATCCTCAACGTCTCGTCTTTCAAAACACATAGAGTCCTCTTTATTTACAGCATTTCCCTCACTCAAGACAACAAAAATGTGCAAAAGTTGCCCAATTAGCAGGAGGAATGGGGGCAACTTCTTGTCGCGTGCGGTGCCCAAGTTCAGAACAGCTGTCAGTCCAAAACATACAGTGCTGAGCTCTGTCATTTATAGGATGTGACTTGTACAGCCACTCCGTTCCAATTTAGGCGTTTATCAGTGGCCAAATCTGCCATTTCCAATCTGTATACGGGTGCGAGTGTAAAGGGTTAATAACTATCCTCCTCCTCCTATAAAGGTTCTGGGGGATTCCATGCCGTAATTCCCAGATTTAGTCCACATTGCTTAACAGTTTGTGGCTCGTTTCTATGTATCCAGCCATGAAATATTTTAAGTTCTTTTTTTTCTTCTCCTCAGTGACTATGGGGATCTGTTTGTCATTGTATTGTGAGGGCCAGCTGTTGCAAAGCCCAGGATTGTTATTACAATACCCTGATCCATTCAGCATGTATTAGTCATTGCAATGATGACTACTTGTGGCTGTGGATTAGAAACACTTTGTTTTCCCTACAGTGACAGGATGAATGCCTTTCACATTCAGACACCAACTCAAACCTTAAAAGAGAAAAGAATACCAATATTTGACCTAGAATGTAGTCACTCTGAGCCCACCCTTTAAGAATGTAGCCTATTTATAATATCTTAGAATGTTTTTGATAAAGTATTTTTTTGCACTGCGAGGAAACAAAGTCAGACAAGAAGTGACGTGTTAAACGGAAGAGAGAAATTCTCCAGAATAACTGCCAGCAGGTGCATGTTCTTCTTGTTTTGGACCCTGAGTGAGACGAACCATGGTAACAGAGTTGTTGAACCCAACCCTTGTCACTGACCTGTCATTTCCTGTGTGTCCTCCCTCCCTCCCAGGACAACAAAGAGAGCCCAGACGCTGTACGATGGGAGGCCCACCAGTCCCCCAGGCGTGTCTCACATCCCCATGGCTGAGCCCTTCTGCACCCGGACCAGGGAGGTCAGTGTCCACGGCCCCGTTCCAAATCAACCACTAGCACCTAGACCGGTGTCTGGGGCCTGGTTCCAAATCAACCCCCGCCACTACATTGTAAATGTTATTGTAATGTACATCAAGTGTTGCCTGTTGGGGAGAGAGTGAATGTTAAGGCATTGGAACACAGGATTCTCGTGAGGGGAGGACGGCTCATAATAATCAATGGAATGGTATCAAATACCTGGAAACAATGTGTTTGTGTTTGATACTGTTTCATTCCTTCCGTTCCAGCCGTTACTATGAGCCTGTCCTCCCAAATAAAGGTGCTACCAGCCACCTGTGTATTTGAACTTTTTGGTTGTTGGTGTGTAATGAGGCTTTGCATAGTTACAATTATTTTCTTCTTTCCAAGTGTTCATAAAACACAAAAACATGGGCATTGACAAAAACACTGACCACTCTCTCCCAGAAAATGAAGTCACGCCTCTCCCTCCCCATGCCCAGGTGCTGCTGGAGGTGGCGCGGGGCCTGGGGGTGAAGTGCCACCCGCAGGGTACGGTGCTCACCATCGAGGGCCCTCGCTTCTCATCGCGCGCCGAGAGCCTGATGTTCCGCCAGTGGGGCGCCGACGTCATTAACATGACCAGCGTGCCCGAGGTGGTCCTCGCCAAGGAGGCAGGCCTTTGCTACGCCAGCATCGCCATGGCCACCGACTACGACTGCTGGAAGGAGCATGAGGAGGCGGTGAGTTATTTTTTTGTGTGGAAATTCCCTCCACTATCGTATATTTTTATATTTTATTGATTGTATGCTCTGATGAAGGTCTTGCGACCGAAAGCTTAGCCTTATTCAATGAAATGTGTGCATTGATCCTGAGTGTGCGGAGACTTCATTACGTTACATGTTTTATTGATAGGAAAGTTAGTAGACAGGACAGGGAAGACAGGAGGAGAGCGTGTCAAACACGCAGTGGGATGGATGCGCATCGACACCCACGCCGGCAGTGGCGTGGAACCTCTAGACAGCAACCCAGGCAACAGGGAAGAGGCGTTTACACAAGTGTGTGAAAGGGTCTGTAACTGTTTCGAGGAGTGATGTGTTTAGGAATGTCCCCAAGTTTCAGTTGAACCACAACACAGGCTATCTGGAAAATTATGTTATGCAAATGAGCCCGTTTCACTAAGATGGCACATTCATGTACTGCATGTGGTCAATTGTCTTGTTACTTGGTCATATGTCTTGCATCCGCTTTCACAGCGGTTGGACATTTCCAACTGCAATATTAGGCTAAAATAAGAACTGAAATGAGTCAGAGCTTTTTATTTTACTACCGGATTCAGGGCTCCAGTCTCTCCCACCACATTCTCGACGAGGTGACATGACATTTTGCCTCCTGTGGTTTAACTATTTTCTCCCGTCACTGTATTTAGAAAGAGTCAAATCAAACCTAATAGGTTAGAGGTCACCGTCAGTGAATTCCATGAACACATTTCATAGAATAATCTCTCCATGAATTTTGAGAATTAGCCTTTTTTTTTATATCCTGTGTGCGAAGTTAGTCACTTCCCCATCATTAGGAGCCATTGTTTGGTGTGTCTAAAATGTCCGTGACATGAGGGTTGAAGTGACCATTCCGTTTCTGAAATGGCTCCCAAAGTGTACTCCAGCTGTCACACTGACCTAGAGGTCAACTCAATTTGAATAAATGCATTTATATTCTTACATAATCAAAGCAGGAATTCAAAATGTGTCTATCCAGTTAATAATAACTAAATAGTAATATGCCTCTGTCACAAAGCTGTAGCAAAACAAATGTAACTTCTTTCAAATAGTATTTTAGGGATTTGAAATTGCACAATGACATTTGTCCAGTGTAAATTTCCTCCCCGTCAGCATTTTACAGGCAACTGTTTACGTTTCCAATTCTTTCGCCTGATTATTATATCGCTCTGAAGTACCTCCCACACACACACACACACACACACCAGCTTCCGAGTGAGTGACTGCCACCCACTATCCAGTTGATATATTATGTCTGGGGGAGGCTCGGCTTCCGTGCCCTTACCCGACATCCCCTTCCTAGTTCCTGCAGCTGACCTCCTGGCCGCCTCCCCCCTCCTTCCCCCTCCTGTTGCACACCCTCTCGCCACATCCTTCCGGCTGCTCTACACCCTCCCTCCCTGGCTCCCGCCCTCCCTCGCTGTGAGCGTGCCAGCCTCCGCTGTGAGCCTGCCAGCCTCCGGTGTGAATCCTGCCAGCAGAGGTTGAGTCACCGGTATACAGTTGTCCACAGGGCCTGGGAAGAGATCACAACACAACAGCCCCTCAGTTCAGGGGTGTGTTCATTAGGGCACACAACAATAAATAAATGTTTTGCTGGTCACATGTTGTGGTCACTGTGCTCCATTTCAGAAACGAACCTGGTCTCATGTTGTAGTGTATCAACATGACATTAGAAGGTTATATCAGTTAATGTCCCTTGAGGAGTACCATGGTAACATACAGTTGGGGTGGGCCACCCAAGATTATCGTCTTGTTATAAACGGCATGCTATCTGGAGCTGCATGGCATTTAGCCTAGTTGACATTGAGTGTAGGAACAATTTGTCTGATTTCATCATTGTAATTAAGTTATCTCAATGTAGCCAATAAAATACATACCCATCATAAATGTATGATTAGATCAAATTGTTTACAAGTTTAGCTCCATCCTAGATGTTGTTAATAGTGAAAAGGATTGCCTTATTACCTGCATTGCCTTTCCATTGGATAAGATCAACATGGTTATCATGGCTTTATAGCCTTAAGTTTTATAATAGGTTTCTATCATCAGTTACTGAATCTACTGTATTGTAATGATCAATATTTATCACATCTTCATGCAGCCCTTGCTTGGTCAAAAGTAGGGCACTAAATAGGTGACAGGGTGCCATTTGGGACGCAGCCTTGATGTCGTTGGAGCTCCTGTGGCCAAAGTCTCCATGGCCACATCACTGTCTGTCTGTCTGACAGAGTCCTCCCCATGATCAGATAGATGGATACCACTCTCTAATGTGTTTCAGTTATTGTCGTGTTGTCATGACCACTGATAACAATAGGTAGTAATGTAATGGCGTAAACTACAGGTAATTAATTACACAACAAGCAAGGGATTATCGTGGTATAACAGACCATTAGATTATATTTAGTGCATTTAATACTCCCTTTGACTTGAGCTGTTAGCTGTACCATGCTGTCAGGAGAACAGGTGTGTTATTTTATAGTGTAAGCAAACAGTCGTATATAAATCACTCCACGGGCTAGCTGCCAATGTTTACAGATGATAGGCCTAGCTTTCAGAGCACCCAGTTTTACACCCTGCAAGGTGTAAGGCCTAAAACGCATTAATGCACACAACACATAGGAAACGTAGTATGAAACAAATGCCTGCTGTTGAACAATTAACCCATGCTCATTGCGCACTCAAACTGAACCTGTAGGCTACAGTACAGTGTAGGATGTCTGTGTGAACTGGGAAGAAGAGAGGAGCTTTGATTCACAAACGTGTTGCTTATTTTGTTTCTCACAATATTTCAATTGAGGCTTAGATTGAGAAAAAAATAAATTGCGCTCAAGTTCAAAATGTTGACGTTTGAATGCCGTTGCCTGGAGACAATCACGAGACGGGTAAGAAAAGAAAGGAAAGTGAAAGTAATGCTGACTGTAGCGCAATGTCTTAACGTGTCAAACTGGCTCTGTGACTGTCCAGGCGTGGCACTACGATCTGTCACCGTGACTCTGTCAGATTACTGAGGTGTGAATTGCATCCACAATAACAATGGGCGATAATATGGAGTAAACGCATGTAATTACACAACAAGCAAGAAGGGCGTGTTTGTTGTCCCTTTCCACAGAGAAGTATTGTTTTTATGAACCGCCTGCTTCAAACAGACTTGGTTATACTGTAAAAACAAACTTTGAATGGCTACTATTACTCTATTAAAAATTAAAGAGAAAAAAAATGGTGTAGCAGCCAGAATATTTACAGCATGAAATGTACTCATTTATTAAAAACCTAACACGTTTTGAGACGGTATTTTATCAATGTTTGCGTCTCACATTGTGAGGCACGTCCTTTGGTCTTGCAGGTGTTTTAAGGCTGTCTGTCGGCATCTTTCTCCGTCTTTGGAAGGCGACTAGAATTTACCAAAATAAGCACCTCAATCCCTCAAAAAAAATACGTATCCGTTTTCTCATTAAATGTAATTCCTGCTTGTCCCAGGTGTGCGTCGACAACGTCCTGAAGACAATGAAGGAGAATGCCAACAAGGCCAGCAGTATCCTGCTCACTGCTATCCCCCTGATCTGCACCCAGGAGGACTGGACCCACACCATAAAGGCTCTGAAGGTAAGACTTGCCATTGTAATGTGACCAGGTTCATCTCTACAGGTGGGTTTGAATAGAATAGTATAATTCAACTTTATTTATCATCTCGGGCAATTAAGTACTTTATTTTTTTCAATCTTACTAAATATCAACCTCCCAGGCAACATGGCAATGTACAACACAAAACGTGTCACGGCATGGGTATGTAGGAGAGCTGGTGCTGTTCAGTATGTCCTTTCTATCAGGTCTGGCGCTCAGTAAGCACATTCTCACTGAGTTACTCACTGCTCATTCTCAGATACTGATTCTCACTGAGTGCTGAGTCGGCCTGCATTAACATTGGTTAGTTATTGGGTGATAAAATGATGACCTGTCCTGATGCTTCTCAAAACATGTCAGGCTTCTGGTCTGTATATAAACGGGTGTTAAAGGTGATGTCTTTCAGGACGTCTAGCTCTGAACATACTGAATCCTGCTTATAGAACTAATGGAATAGTCCCAAAAGTGATAAGAAATCAATTATATTTGAACCTAGGTCTGGTGTTCAAGGTGATTTCCCTCTCCTCAGGACACCTGGCTCTGAACCCAATGAGCCAAAATGTGAAGGCCCTTAGTCTTACATTCTCTTCACTATTCATCCTCAACGACACTTCAGTCAATGAGAGTGGGACTGCAATTTGACGTGCTAAACAGAAATTCCAGTATGGCATGCTTCATGACGCAAACACTAAAAACGAACATATTAGTTTGTTTTACTAACAGATTGCAATATGTGTATTTTCTAAAAACTGTTTTTGTTAGTACCTCTGCTACTATTTAGTGTGTTTTTGTGTTTGGTTTCTTTCAGACAACAGCGCAATCCTCAATAATGCTACCGAAACACTGAGAACCACCGAAAAGCCCCTCTTCACCCCCGTAGAACAGAGAATGACTTGCAACACACCAGCCACCAATACGGACAATGGATTCATCTCTCTCTCGATTCCTCATCAGTGAATCACAAGAAAGTGCCTGATATGCATGTTTTCAGTACTGTACATTCGCCAGGATTTCACAACACATTTGAGTAACATTACATCGTTTGCCAGCAGCATACCACCCTGCATTCCACTGCTGGCTTGCTTTTGAATCTAAGCAGGGTCGGTCCCTGGATGGGAGACCAGATGCTGCTGGAAGTGGTGTTGGAGGGCGAATAGGAGGCATTCTTTCTTCTGGTAAAAGAAGGTCCCAATGCCCCAGGGCAGTGATTGGGGAAATTGCCCTGTGTAGGGTGCCGTCTTTCAGATGGGACATTAAATGGGTGTCCAGACTCTGGTCACTAAAAGATCCCTGATAAATTAAGGGTCAAAATGTTTTTATATATATACATTAACATTGTCAGTATTTTACTGTAGTTTATATACTGTTGATTTCAGCCATGTTTTCATACTGTAGATACTTTAATGAGTAATTACACACATTTTGGTATGTCCTATAATGTCTTCTGAAAGAAAATTAGTTAGTTGGTTGTTTTCAGGGATTGTTTGTAGCCCATATGATCTGTACATGTAGGTCTATGACGAACAAGACTTTTGCACAGAGTATATTTGGAACAGGACATTCAATCAAAAGCAACTGCCACTCCGTTCATAAAGCCTCAGTCCTGTTTATCCGGCTCAGGGGTGAAGTTTCGCCTAGGTACAGATCTAGGATCAGCTTCCCCTCCCCCAATCCTAACCATAACCATTTAGTGGGGAAAAATGCAAAACTGACCCAAGATCAGTGACTAGGGCCAACTTTACCCTACTCTGTTAATCCACTTTGTTGCCCAGAAACAAGGTCAAACTACATTGTTGATAGATTCCAGGCTCTTTACTCCTAATTATTAGGTGAGTTAATAGGGAATAGTGGATTCATGGCTCATAATATATTTTCCATTCAATAAAATGCCTTGTTTCATTAAGAAAGGCTTCCACTGAGGGCATGATCGATCTGTCTCATATCATGTGACATAATCTGAAACTATCTTCAAAATACTTCCTTCATTTTAACGAAGCATTTCTTCTTACATGGATTCAGAGCTACAGTATTATAATGGGATCCTAAAAGGGTTCACTTCAGTAAGTAGGCCTAACTGTTAACATGATGGTTGATATTCTGTTATGATTATGTGTTTGACTGCATGTACATGTCAAATGTGTTTGCAAGTGTGACAAAATCAATAAAGTTATGTAGATTGGAAATGTGCTTTTCATTTTAAAAATCAGGAAGTTAGCTAGAATCTTAACCTAACACTTGTTTGTGAAGTGACAACTGCATATGTGCTCAACATTGGACTTCCTGTCATTCAGTTTGCATAATGTCACTTCTGTTGCTCAAGTGAAATGATAGGTACTTTTGCAAAGTGCGTGTGCCATCATGCCAGATGCTAATAATATTCTCCCTTTATCGCTACTGTACTGTACTGTACTTTAGTGACAAGTTGTGTCACCATTCAAATACGTTTGAATCAGAGAAACATGAAGCTCGGAAAGCATACTGTCTGGAAGTCGAAAACATGATGCAGCATAACGCAAGTAAATGGACTTTGAAATTACAAGCCGTAACAAACTTCAAGAAGTGCACATGGTTTAAATATAGCCTACTTTCAAAATACACAAATTATATATTTTTCAATTATTATTAGGCTTCTTAGCAAATATTTGCATTGGCTCCCTCATGTTGATTGTCTACTAAACATTTCCAATAATAAATTGCCACTACTAAAATGTATCCTTAAGACAAAATGGATACATTGTAATGACTGCTAGTGTTAGAGTTCCAATAGCCTAATACATGCCTCGAGTCAGACTCGGAGGACAAGTGTGGGGTTATTGCATTCATTCCTGCCTTGTTGATCGTGCATTGCAATATTTTGCACCAGCGTTCCAAAGTTATTTGTGGCTTCCAGCTGGCCTGGTGCGAAATGATAAGAGAAACTGCAAGGGGCGTCATACGTCGACATCTATGCTTTATGCATCTCTCATATACAAAACAAGTGTGTTTTGACCCCAAATATATATATATATATATATATATATATATATAATTAATTTTTTGCGTTATTACAGTGGTCTAGTTTAGATTGACCTTTCAAATAAAATGAAGCAAAATGGCGGAATGACAGTTAACAATAACATTTATATTCATGCAAAACGTAGGCCTATTAGACCCATGAACCAAAATCTTGATCATTCGTGCAATGTACTATTTGAATTTTCGGGAGACGCCCACTTTGCTATCTCCTCTTGTACAGTAAGTTACACACAGTCTCGTGAGTGTTTGTTCCACAGTGAAAAATAAATACGTTTATTGATTTTGGAATATTGTGTAGGGCCAGAGGTATTCAACTCTTACCCTACGAGGTCCGGAGCCGGCTGGTTTTCTGTTCTACCTGATAATTAATCGCACCCATGGTGTCCCAGGTATAAACCAGTCCCTGATTAGAGGGCAACAATGAGGTCCCTAGTTGAGTTTTAGGTGTGTAGGCTATGTTAAAGAAACACAATAGGTCTTGCAGCCTATCCAAACATTCGTTTCAACAGAAAAAGTATGTTCCCATTATAGTAGGCCTAAATAAAAGGTATGTTTAAGTTGTAAAAAAAAAAAAGGTCAATAGTTTATCGAGCTGAAGGGACACACCTTACTTCTCACAAACGGACACGCTAATTCATTGTGGTCTAGATCCTTCCATTATTTAGATTATTTCCTGCCATCAAAAGTTAAACATTTCGTTCAATGTCGATACATTGTAGCGAAACTTATGGTTTTCAAATTGAGCTCCATAAATACTTAATTATAGCCTAAATTAATACATATTTAAGTAGGTAGGTCTACTTAAATAATTCAGAATCGAAGTGACCAACTTTAGGTTTGACATGAAACAATTTTCTCGGAATTATTCAAAATACAAATACAAACATCATCAGCTTTATATGCAGGAAGTCCAGACCCATTTCCAATAACATTGTCTTAATATAAACGATTATGGATTATTATCAAAATACACAAATCCATACCCTACCTAAATGTTTACTTTTGGATTTCTAATAATAACTCATCATAAAGGGCTAATGCAATCTGATAAAAACAATTATTTATTTAATCAAAAGTTCAAACGGGTGTATTGAAGGTATCACAATACCTGTGTGCTTTTATTTTTTGTTCAGTAAATTCCTTACCTTATCAATATTGCATCCATCAGAGTATATATTTTCCTATAGCAACGCTAAACCAGTCTATCTGTGATTATTACATGATTTAATATTTAAAAAACAGCAAATAGCCTAATTACAACTTAACACTAAAAATTAAAATTGTACATATACTTAACTCTTAAGCCTAATTAACAAACCGTTGATTAAGTGCATAAAGTGTGCAATACTCTTGGAGAGGCATAAATAAAGCATTTTTTATCGATAAAAAAAAGTATTTAAGAACTTAACGGGTCTAGGATATACATCCGTATTCTATACAATAAAATCGTCAAACAAATAAATACAACGCATCTTTGAATTCATAAAGCCTGCAGAAACGCAACGACATTCTGGTGTCCACTTTCTTTTGCCAAATCGATTGGCCGGCAGTTCCTATTGTCCCGGCTATTCGGATCAGCGAGGAATTGGACAAGGATCTCTACCGTGTCCAAAAAGCCCATCCTGGCGGCATCGTGTAACGGCGTCGTCCCGGTGTGTCGGTCTGCGATATTAGGATCCGCTCCTTGCATTAGTAACAACTGCGCCACAGGTGAACTGCCCATCATCATCACCTAGGAAATACAAATGCAGTTGATTTTACTTACAAACCTTCTGCTAGGATATTTAATAAATATGCCTATATTTGCAAGGCAAATAATGTTGCCATGGTGTATAATACGTTATTTAGAGTAACACTAAATAATACAGTTTGCCTATAGTTCTATCAGACCATAAAAGCGCGTGCTTTTCGTTTCAGATTGCGAAAAGTGTTTTAATTATCAAAAAATATCTGTGCTGTAATTCACTTAACAATTTAATAACAATATAATAATGTATCCACATTAAAAAATAAAAGTAATTAGGCCCAACTGATGCTATAACATATTTATAGGGTATAAGTCGGCCTACAATTAATCTTATGAATTAGTTGTTACTTATTTTAATTGTAGGCCACATATTTCGTAATGTAGCAAACCTAAAGAGCACCAAAATGTAGGCCTATCAAAGTGTTAAGGCCAAATATAGGAAGAGTCAGCCAAGGCATTTTGATAGCAGCCCAAGGAAATTGGTTTTTAGAGTAGGTCATTAAATATGAACACATTCATAATTTACAAAAGATAGATCATGTATATGGATAACTTTGGCCATTTTTGGGAGAGCATTTTTGAGTTTGGAACATTGGGTGTGGTGACCTGCATGCATCCTTCATTGCCCCTATATAGCCTACATTGGTAATGCCATGGACCATTTTGATAGAGTATAATATCGAATTATTTCTATGTTTATTTGAAAGGCAAACTAATGGAAATATTTCCAACAATAGAAGTATCAATTTGGACTTGATAAAACGTAATGGAAGGCCTACAGAAGCCACGCGCAATTGCGCACCATTCCCATCATGCGCACTAGTTGGAGCTCAACAGACTAAACTATAACGTAAATAAAGCACGTTAAAATATATAGCATATATAACAAGGTAATATAGGTCCCATGCAAATTATTTCACAGTATGACATGCTATTCTAGTAATGGATTAAGACAGTTTACGGTTTCAACCAAAAACATAGTCGATGTATTTTTTTTTGAACAAGGCCATCTCTGCAACGCTAAAATATTGATGACATCGTTGAACATTGACTCTCTTTTACAATAATCATGACACGATCTTCACCAATAAGCACGACGAGGAGAGCGTAGCGCGAGACACTTACCTGCAGAGGTGTCCGTCCAAAGCAGTTTACACCGTTGACGTCCACTCCACTTTGTAATAGAATTTTAACACGATCGGTGTTGCCAGTCGCGGCTGCTGAGGCTAAATCATCCTCGAGAGGCATCGTCATGAGCAGAGATAACGCCGCTCGGCTCGTGTCAACAACAGTACAGCACTTCACAGATTCCTTTGACAGGTAGCTTCACAATGTCAATGTCCGGACATCTCGCGCAAAATTATATTCCTTCGAAAATATCCAAAACAGTCGTTAACGTTTCGAAATGTCAGGCTTCATTCGCATGCAACGTGATATAAAGATCCTCAGTTAGTTGGCTAGAATAAATTAAAGCGTACATCGTATGACCGATCGGACGGCAGTGTGTCTGGACTTGCCTGTGTTTTGAATTGGTTGACGTCATTCTGCAGCAGAGCTAACTCGTCGCGCATGCTCTTTTTGAGCTTTAAAGAACACAGTACCAGGAAGAGAGCGAGGTTGTTGACTGTAGAGTTTACAGTTTAAAAACAGTGGGACAAATGGTTCGTCAAATCGTCTAAAATCAACGTGTTGAATACGAGCTGTTGGATATCAATATGAAAACTAGGCTGCTACAATGTCGCCACATTTGTTGTTACAAAATAACTGTATGCGCGGCATGCTACTGCTACAATGTATCACCGTCTCGGGCAGATATTATTGCAGCGCCTCTACACGCTCCGATAGTACAGCCTGCTGGTTACACCCGCATTATGACACAGCAGGTGGCAATCACCATATAACTCATTTACATGACATATTTACATTTTAGTCATTTAGCAGACGCTCTTATCCAGAGCGACTTACAGTTAGTGAATGCATACATGTTTTTTTGTTTTTGTTTTTTTCATACTGGCCCCCCGTGGGAAACAAACCCACATCCCTGCCGGGCAAACCCTCCCCTACCTTGGACGACGCTGGACCAATTGTGCGCCGCCCATGGGTCTCCCTTTCGCGGCCGGCTGCGACAGAGCCTGGACAACTCAGCTGCTTTCTGTCTGTAGACCTATAGCCTCAATATCAATACTATTGAGGAAAATGTCCGTTTTCTATGCACCTATTGGTGTATTCAATAATGTAGGCTAAATAAAATATGGACGTTATATACTGAACAAAAATATAAACGCAACATGCAACAATTTAAACGTTTTTACGGAGTTACAGTTCATATAAGGAAATAAGTAAATTGAAATAAATTCATTAGGCCCTAATCTATGGATTTCACTTGACTGGGTAGGGGTGCAGCCATGGGTGGGCCTCAGAAAACATTTTAGTCATTTAGCAGAGGCTCTTATCCAGAGCGACTTACAGTTAGTGAGTGCATACATTATTTTATTATGTTTCATACTGGCCCCCCGTGGGAATCGAACCCACAACCCTGGCGTTGCAAACGCAATGCTCTACCAACAGAGCTACATCCCTGTCGGCCATTCCCTCCCCTGGATGACGCTGGGCCAATTGTGCGCTGCCCCATGGGTCTCCCAATCGCAGCCGGCTACAACAGAGGCTCGATTCGAATCAGGATCTATAGTGGCACAGCTAGCACTGCGATGCAGTGCCTTAGACCACTGCACCACTTGGGAGGTCGGGACATAGGCCCACCCACTTGGCAGCCAGGACCACCCACGACCTTGGAGGCAGTTTATGGTAGAGAAATTCACATTCAATTCTCTGGCAACAGCTCTGGTGCACATTCCAGCAGTCAACATGCCAATTGCACATTCCCTCAAAACTTGAGACATCTGTGGCATTGTGTTGTGTGACAAAACTGCACATTTTAAAGTGGCCTTTTATTATCCCCAGCACAAGGTGCACCTGTATAATGATCGTGCTGTTTAATCAGCTTCTTGATATGCCACGCCTGTCAGGTAGATGGATTATCTTGGCAAAGGAGAAATGCTCACTAACAGGGATGTAAACAAATTTGTGCACAACATTTGAGAGAAATAAGCTGTTTGTGCGCATGGAAAATGTCTGTGTTTATTTTCTTCAGCTCATGAAACATGGGATCAACACTTTACATGCTGCATTTCATATTTTGGTTCAGTGTAGTTCAAGCGACACAAGGAATAGGAATATGTATGACAAAGAAACCATGAGACTGACTCAGACTAACTGCATTTGATCTAACATAAGCAACGATTCTCAAACTATTTTATATATTTCTTCAAAGGTGCCTTCATACATTTTTCAATACAAAAGTAAAATATACTGAACAAAAATAGAAATGCAACATGCAACAATTTCTACGATTTTACTGAGTTACAGTTCATATAAGGAAATCAGTCAATTAAAATAAATTAATTAGGCCCTAATCTATGGATTTCACATGACTGGGCAGGGGCGCAGCCATGGGTGGGCCTGGGAGGGCAGGGGCACAGCCATGGGTGGGCATGAGAGGGCAAAGGCCCTCCCACTTGGGAGACTGGCCCACCCACTGGGGAGCAAGGCCCAGCCAATCAGAATGCATTTTTCCTCACAAAAGGGCTTTATTACAGACAGAAATACTCCTCAGTTTCATCAGCTGTCCGGGTGGGTGGTCTCAGACGAAGCCGAATGTGGAGGTCCTGGGCTGGCGTGGTTACACAGGGTCTGCGGTTGTGAGGCCGGTTGGACATACTGCCAAATTCTTGACGTTGGAGGCAGTTTATGGTAGAGAAATTAACATTCAATTCTCTGGCAACAGCTCTGGTGGAAATTCCTGCAGTCAGCATGCCAATTGCACACTCCATCAAAACTTGAGAGACATCTGTGGCAATGTGTTGTGTGACAAAACTGCACATTTTAGAGTGGCCTTTGATTGTCCCCAGCACAAGGTGAACCTGTGTAATGATCGTGCTGTTTAATCAGCTTCTTGATATGCCACACCTGTCAGGTGGAAGGATTATCTTGGCAAAGGAGAAATGTTCACTAACAGGGATGTAAACAAATTTGTGCATGAGAAATAAGCTTTTTGTGCGAATGGAAAATGTCTGGGATCTTTTATTTCAGCTCCTGAAACATGGGACCAACACTTTACATGTTGCGTTTTATATTTTTGTTCAGTATATATAATTCAGTAATTTTCTGAAAGGACAATCATTTTGGTCATATATTTTTTGTCTCTTTTGCCTACACATAATACCCCATAATGTCAAAGTGGAAAAATTTTGCTAATGAATTAAAAATGAAAAGCTGAAATGTCTTGAGTCAATAAGTATTTAACCCCTTTGTTATGGCAAGCCTAAATAAGTTCAAGAGTAAGGATCTGCTGAACAAGTCACATAATAAGTTGCATGGACTCACTCTGTGTGCAATAATTTTTGAATGACTACCCCATCTCTGTATACCACACATAGAATTATCTGTAAGGTCCCTCAGTCGAGCAGAGAATTTCAAACACAGATTCAACCACAAAGACCAGGGACGTTTTCCAATGACTCGCAAAGAAGGGCACCTTCTTTATTGGGTAAAAATAAATAAAGCAGACATTGAATATCCCTTTGAGCATGGTGAAAGTATTAATTACACTTTGGATGGTGTATCAATACACCCAATCACTACGAAGATATAGGAGTCCTTCCTAACTTAGTTGCCGGAGAGGAAGTAAACTGCTCAGGGATTTCACCATGAGGCCAATGGTGACTTTAAAACAGTTACAGAGTTTAATGGCTGTGATAGGAGAAAATTGAGGATGGATCAACAACATTGTAGTTACTCCACAATACTAACCTAATTGACAGAGTGAAAAGAAGGAAGCCTGCACAGAATAAAAATATTACAAAACATGCATCCTGTGTGCAACAAATGTGAGAAAGTATTTCACTTTTTGTCCTGAATACAAAGTGTTATATTTGGGGCAAATCCAATACAACACATTACTGAGTACCACTTTCCATATTTTAAAGCATAGTGGTGGCTGCATCATGTTATGGGTATGCCTGTAATCGTTAAGGACTGGGGAGTTTTGTAGGATACAAAATAAATGGAATGGAGCTAAGCACAAGAAAAATCCTAGAGGAAAACACGGTTCAGTCTGCTTCCCACCAGACACTGGGAGATTAATTCACCTTTCAACAGGACAATAACCTAAAACATAAGGCACAATCTACACTGGAGTTGCTTACCAAGAAGACAATTAATGTTCCTGAATGGCTAACTTGCAGTTTTGACTTAAATTTGCTTGAAATTCTATGGCAAGACCTGAAAATGGTTGACTCGCAATGATCAACAACCAATTTGACAGAGCTTGAATGATTGTTTAAAGAATAATGGGCAAATGTTGCCCAATCCAGATGTGGAAAGCTCTTAGAGACTGCCAAAGGTGATTCTAACATTTATTGTCTCAGGGGGTTGAATACTTATCTAATCAACAGTGGTGGAAAAAGTACCCAATTGTCATACTTGAGTAAAAGTAAAGATACCTATATAGAAAATGACTCAAGTAAAAGGAGAAGGAGAAGTCACCCAGTAAAATATTACTTGAGTAAAAGTCTAAAAGTATTTGGTTTTAAATATACTTAAGTATCAAAAGTAAATGTAATTGCTAAAATATACTTAAGTATCAAAGTAAAAGTATAAATAATTTCAAATTGCTTATATTAAGCAAACCAGAAGGCACAATTTTATGATTATTTTGTATTTATTTACGGATAACCAACAGCACACTCCAACAGAATAACAACAAAAAAATCCAGAAAAACGCATGTCAAAAATGTTATAAATTGATTTGCATTAAAATTATAGACTGATCATGTCTTTGTCAGTGGGCAAACGTACAAAATCAGCAGGGGGTCAAATGCTTTTTTCCCTCACTGTATATTTTGTACAAATTTAGAATTTTTCTTCCACTTTGATATTACAGAGTATTTTGTGTAGATCGTTGACAAAAAAATTACAATTAGATCAATCCATTTTAATCCCACTTTGTAACACAACAAAATGTGGAAAAATTCAACGAGTGTGAATACTTTCTGAATGCACTGTATATGCTATTTTATCCATTTAGAAACAACAAGAGCAAAAACAAAGTTTTGTCTGTTAGTGTGTGTGATTCCACATTCTCCAGCAGGACCGGAAGCAATTTAAAGGACTTGATTTAGGGAATTTGC